GATCATTCATTGGCTAGGAGGCAGTCGACCAATACGATCGTGCGAAAGAGCCCAGAAATTAAGTAATCAATCCAGCCTTCTCTGCGAGATCGTCGTCACTACTACTACGTGCGGCAATACATATGTGCATGTCTCATGTGTTTTCATATTGCACATTTCAAACAACTTTTGTGCCGTCGCCATCCCAATGCGTTTAATCAAGAAGTGCGATTTCATGCGCGTTCTTACAGTACTGACTTTAACTTCCGCCGTGTCCTCAAGATAACGCAACATGCACGCTGAACACCGCGCGCAAGTTCTCCATGGGGTGGTGTTTCGATATTGATGATAGTGTTGCTAATTGTTTGACCCCGTGATAGATAATCTGTGACCGCGTAGACCGGCGTTCATGCACATGGCAGATGCATTTGCGTTACTGCTTCTTCACGCCCGCCAGTTATGACACAAAACGTCTGTTGTATTGGGATAAGTGGTATGATTCCAGATTTTCTAGACGTCTGGCTTTCGCGTGCTTCAATTTGATCAAGACACATACGCCGGAGGGTATTCTAACTCTGCAACAGCCTTCGTAGATGAAAAATTCGACTACCGTTTGTCCAAGACAATCTCCACTGATTTCCCTCTCGCCCTAGTTGCAATTGCCAGATCTGTTTTGATGTTGAAGGTTACCATAACCTTCATGCCAACTGCAATCTCTATCATGTTTGATAGTGATGCGCGCTCATCATGATCACATTAGAAATAGCTTGAAATCCCTTGAGCTTCGTAGCGATTGCGAAGCTTTCTGATGTTTGGTCTTGCTAAATCCTCGAGCATCATCCATATGGCTGAAGGGATTGATTACATTCGACTTGTTTCCCTGTAAGCTACGTTTACCACTCTCGACGTCTCGGTGCACTCAAAACTTCTACGGTAGCTAAAAGTCTCAACCAACCGAAAGCGCAGAAGATCAACTTACCGCTGATATAGAAGACGATGCCACATCATCCAGTAAACTATATTTGGCCCTCCCAGCCATTATCGTGCACCTGATTGTATCCTCTACTAGAGACTGCTACAAGCCTCGGTTCAGAATTCGATATCTATTGGTCAGTTGTGGATCGCTGCAAAGCCGAACTCTCAGACATCGTGGAAATACACATCATCGATTCTCTCCCAGCATACGGGATTGATCACAAACCAATATATACCGCCAGCTCCATATGAGAGCAATTTGTGTGGTGCTGTGATCGAGGTACGCTTCGTTTCACCATTCAGTCATCAGAAGGTCTAAGCGTCGCATTTTCAACGCTATTCTTCGTGAGAGGATTGTATTACGGCCACCTTCCACCACATGCCTTCCAGTTCGCTGAAATGATGCAAACTTGATGCTGAGCCTTCATTAAATATGCCTTTCAAAGGAAAGAGATAAGCTCATATATCCTCCGCGACTAATGGTATAATGGTAATACTATTTTCGAATCGAAGCCGTTCAACAAACCGTCTGAATGTGCTATATCACGTTAGCAAAGTTAGCGCAGTTGTTCTTGATCATAACTCCAGCTAGCCACTCTCAGAAGTTTTGTTGTAATAACTAGTGATGCGGAACAATTGTACAAGGTTGTTGCCGGCGAAGCCTAGCCTTTTCTAGTTGTTGAACTTATCAATAGCAAGTACGTTGCCCCACCACGGTTACGTGATGGCAAGCCCAAATTTCTCTCCGAAGCCCGCAGTGGTCATCGTCGGCGCGGGTGCTTTTGGTTTGTCTACTGCTTACCACCTACTAGAACGTGGTTACACCGATGTGACGGTGCTCGATCGTGCTGAACATTTACCCGCGGTCGATGCAGCGAGCACTGACATAAATAAAGGTGTTTTGTTCTTTCCAGTGCCCCTCTACGACATCTGGATAGCTTACCTTCAGTATCAAGTGGTCCGTTCTTGTTACGGCGATCCAATATACACGCAGCTTGCACGCCAGGCGATCGAGGAATGGCGCGATGATATGTGGCAAAACTGTTACCATGAGTTTGTGTCTCATTTTCTTTTCGCTCGGAGTGGATGATCATAGTATCAAATGCTACAGGTGCGGTGTCCTCAACTTGGGCGATGCATACACTGAGCAGTCTATCATCAACGATATCAAGCACGGCGCCAAGGTCGAGCGTTTAGATAGTCCTGCATCCATTAGAGCACAGTTTCCGTCGGACCTTCACAATTCTGGTAGACTAGGGACATTCACATCGTTGGATGTCTCTTCTACAAGCTACTTCAATCATGATGGTGGTTGGGCAGAGGCTGAACGTGCAGTCGGCCTCCTCATGGAACATGTAAAGAAACGTGGTGTCAAAGTCTTACCTGGCAAGGCAGTTCAAGAATTGGTCAAGGACGAACGTGGTCAAACCAAAGGCGTGCGCTGTGCCGACGACACTGAATACGAGGCCGATGTAGTGGTCCTTGCTCTTGGTTCGTGGACTGCGAGTGCATTCCCGTCGTTAAACCTGACGGGCAAGTGTCTTGCTACGGGGTAAGTATGCAATGTTTCTGGTGCTTGGCTCCGTCTGATGCGATACTACTTGCACTTATTTGACGGACACTGACATTATTGCCCGGCATATTTTTTGCATGTCCAACTATTTCAAAAAGTCAAAGCGTGGCGACGATTCAAATGACGCTGAAGGAGGCAGAGGAATATCGCAAGACACCTGTCATAGTTGATTTCAGGACCGGTTTCTATATTTTCCCAGTGAGTCATCGTTCTTTCAAGTTTGTTTCTACTTCCTTTAAGTGGTCAAATATTTCAATCCTCATTATATCTGCTACGCATGCGGTTTGACAAATGTGTTTGACACGTTATGTCTCTTACCTTGAATGTCTGGGAATACACGTGCACGGAACTCCTTGCCACTTAGCTCCGTGTGTTCTCAATGGCGTGGCAATATTTTTTGGTTGTGTTCTACTCATTACCCATGAATCTTGATTAGGTCCAGTGATCATCGATCACTAACCCACTGGTATCCAGTTGAAGGCTTTGAATAGTGCTCTCTAGCAGTCCGACACTGTCCGTTGTCGACGCGTATCTATATTGGGTACCCGTTTTCTGGTTCCATTCCCCCAAATTGGTGTTTTATCAGTTTTTATCAGGCTATTCTTCCTGGTTCTTCCTACCGAGTTGACTCGTCGATTTTATTAATCGTAATCGACATTGCATTGACCGAACTGTTTTATATAGCCAACACATCGTAATGTTGTCAAATTTGGAATCCATGCTGCTGGACACACCTACACAGTTTCTGGATCCACCACATCAACCCCACGGACAATTGTCTCTGATCCAGATAGCGGCCTGTGGATTCCACGGTCGATCTTGAAGGAGCTAAGGGTTCAGCTGCGAGGCGTATATCCCGCGCTCGCGGAGAAACCCTTTAGTGGGACAAGGTTGTGTTGGTGAGTTTGCATTCTCCTACAGCTCATGAAAGTTCCGGATTTCGTCACGTGGGATATGAGATGGTCAAAACTTTCATCGTGTCCTTGACCTGGTAGGGAGAAAACGCTGGAATGGAGTTGGCCTTTTCTTTGTGATTGGGTTCAAGGGCACTTGGATTTGCGACCGATTAGGTTCAAGGGTACGGTGGCGGATATCGGTCACATTAGGATAGTCGGAAGATAGCGCCGTGTGTGCAGTGAGTTGAAGGCATGGACATCTCTTGTGATCTACCTCGACGTCATTTTTTTCCAAACGCATGCAATTCTTTGGGTGTAGTGCTGATCGATCTGAGCAGGTATACCGATTCGCCAGATGGCGACTGGGTCATCGGGCGCTATCCCGGCGATTCGGGACTAGTCCTGGCAACCAGCGGAAGTGGACATGCATTCAAGGTATATTCCACATTGATTCTTCTCTGCTTCTTGCACCACACAGTGATGACAGGACGCGTCAGCACGTTTCACTTTGTGGAACAGTGCCCTTGAGTAAATCCGAGAACGAAAACTGATGTTACCCTCAACAGTTCCTCCCCACCTTAGGAAAGCTTGTGGCCGACGTCATAGAAAATAAGCTAGACCCTGAACTTGCAGCACGGTTTGCTGTCGATCGGCAGGTAAAACCTCCAAACGGCGAGCGAGTGTCAGTTGTTTCTCAGGAGCTTAACATCGATGAATTATGCGGACCGGAGGATCTGATACCAACGTTATGATTCCATATTGCGCTATTTGAAAACCCGTATGTACACAGAATTTGTATTCAATTTGTATTCAATACCAGGCACTTTGGATAGTAGAATCAATTGATTTCAGTATGTTTGTCATTGGTCCTGGAAATTTCCAGTGATTCTGTCATGGATTCCAATGGTACTCAAGTCTTTTTCAGTGACTTTATGATACACTGGAATTAGTGCTGTCCACATTACAGGTTATATTTTAATATAATATTATTATGATAAGTTATAGGGCCAGCTAAAGTGGCAACACCCGCTACCTGCCTTGGCATTTTGCTTTTTCAGAAAATGGCACGTTTGTGTCAGACAAAACCATCCTCCCACTAACCATGGGAGTCGGGGATTGTAACTCTGTCCTTGTTGTCCTTGTTTCTCCCTTCTTGTCCCGATGTCTTTGTGTGCCACTTGAGCATCCCACCTGCAGATGATGGCCTCGGCGACTTGTGGTTCCTCAGATGTTGGGCCTCTGTTCTTACTTTTATCTTACTTTAATTCCACCTCTCTGCATCTAGCCGCTTTGTCATTGTGCTTCCACAAATACCAGTGCATTTACCCCTCGACACATGATTGATAATTCTATCCAACAACTGATCCTTCGTACCCACAAAACACAAACCATGCCAAGATGCTATAGCTTCCAAAGAAGGCTTGGACATATGCTCTGCCTTGGAAAACAATGACTGAAATGATTGGGATCATCAGGAAAACATCGAGTTCCTTATTTGCTCCTTATTTGCCTTAATTCACACAATAAGGAACTTTTAAGGCCGTTTTTCGTCCTTAAATTAAGGAGACTAAGGAGATTCATTTCCTTAAAGTAAGGAAATAAGGGGCGGTTGCCTTAAAATCAGGCAGATAAGGCAGTCAAGGCATACTATTATTTCAGTAGACACAGAATAATCCAAGTAGGCTAAGGTGAAAATAAGGACGTCAACGAGTTCAAAACGTTCTATGAAAATGTTCAAAAAATATTAAAAAAGGCATAGGACAGCAATTGACGAGAGCAGCGATTGAAGCGAAACGATACGAGGCTGGGAGACGAGCGCGCATGTAGAAAAGCCAAGCGAGTTATGTCAAAAATTATCGCGTTAGAGCAGGAAGAATTAGAATAAAGAAACAAATACTTCAAATACGGATACACGTGCGTGGATTCACTGGCACAGGGGGCTGACTTTGACCGTCGAGAATACTAGACTCTTCATCTTGACCCTTGCGGCGAGCACGCTTCATGTACGGCTGAGCTCGTTTGACAATTTCTTTTATGCGGTTGAAGGGCAGCTCCTCAATTCGTTCCATGTACGCGAGTGTGTCAGTCTCCCAATTACCCGCGGAAAAAGCAGTGCCTGTGTTACTCATTTTGTTAGTGGAGTGATTGAGAGTTAGGGCAATCTTGTGTTTCCCGTGGTCCGAAGTATCTTCCACAATCAGGTCGTCGCGAGCTAAAATAAGTGCACGCTCGGCCTGCAAATGAAAGTTAGGAAGTTTTGTAAAGGCGGTGCAAAACTCATGGCTGCAGTGGTCAGTGCAAGGGCCGTTGGATATGCAGGTAAGCTGAAGTCGAGCGAGTCAATTATCTGGCGTCCTTGGGTGGCATTGAGTTGAACAGCGAAGATGCGCAAGATAAATTCCGATAAGAAAGCTCCAGGTGAGTCTTTCATTATCTGGATCTTCATATACAAAGCGTGAATCTTCAAGTTAATATTCGGCATATTCTTTGCGTGCCTCCTTGGTCTTGTATTTGTCCGTGGATGCGAAAAATGCCATGAGAATGGTGATAGCAGTGGAGCTGAAGTTACCTCTCCACTCAGAGATCCTTTGGCATACCTGCCAGCATAGTTGTCAGCTAGAAGTACTGGAATGGGAATTCACTCACGAGGTTGAAGGCGAGATTGCAGCCATCATCATTCCTGAAGTCTCCAGGCTGCTTACACACCACCATGAAGATATCCTCGAGAACATCTGAGAGTTTCTCATCGGGGATGGTCCATGGATAGCTGTTATTGCCGACCCAGTGCATGACCGTTGGAATAAATACGGAATGAAAGCTTAGATTCTGAGCAGCGCTGGGTAAGTGAGAATTCTTCAGCTTTTCTTTCTTCAGATTGAGTATAGTACGTTGCGCACGTCCATTTTCAGTTTTGATGTACTTGGATTTTGGACCGTCCATCGTGGTATCCATGACGCTAACTGACATCTGCATAGGAATTTGTCAGCGTTGTCAGGCGACCAGAGCAAATTCTCCATACAGAGCTTGTGAGTCGACTGTTTGACACTTCACAGACCTATAAGATCCATGATCGTGGTGAGCGATTCATCTATCTCACAGGACCCACCAGTACTTACCTCAATATCACCCTGCTGATCCATCATGTCAACATCCTCATCCTTGTCCGGAATATGTTTGTCGGCATCTTGGTCTTCTTCCATTTCATGCCGCTCTTCGGGTTCGAGGTCATCCAACAAGGTCGTGGACAAGGTACACTTTCGTCCTCTTGTGGCATCATCAACAGTCTCAATCATATGCACGACACCCTGCATTGATTTAAGCATTCCCCATTCACAATCATGAAGTCACTCACCTGACCACCCCGACTCACAGTGACACTCTCGTCATGATCTTCAGGTAGGTTTTCATCTTCAAATACGGCCGCATCCCTGCTTGCAATCACTAAAAACTGTTAGCAATGTGTGCAGACATGAAACTGAACCTACCACTGGCACGTGCACTTGGTGGTGCAGATGGCTTCCATTGGGACTTCGATGCCACGCTTCTAGCCCACTTCCCTACTTCCACCTCCTCTGTCGATATGGCTTGTTCAAATCCCCTACATTGTAGTGAGTGAATTATATCGAAGTAATAAAGAGTCAGCTCTGATAAGAGTAACATCGCAGTTAAGACAAACTTACAGCGACCTTCGATTTTTCCCACTGTCACTGCCCCTGCCCACGCTTAGTACAACACACATTGTAGATGATGTACCATTGTTGGACACCTTTCGACTGGCGTTGACACCATCCTTGAAGGTGAGTTTCAAGCCTGGATATTTCTTCTTTGGGGCGTCAGTGCTTTGGGACACCGTTTTTGCCTCAACAGCTGTATAAATGTCAAAGGACTGGTGAGTCTTGCAACAGCATTGTATTGCGTAAGGCTTACGCGTCTTGTCGGGGTTTGCAGTTGGTGCTGCCTTGGTCACTGGGTGCGGCTTAGGCTTTGGTCTGACAAGGTGTCCTGGGCCAGCACGTTGAGCCATCTGCTCGACAGCCATAACATCTTCTGTTGCAGCGACCTTCTTTTGAGCATTTTCCAAGGCGGTTGCCTTGGCTAATTTCTCTGCTGACGCCTTTTTCTTTTCAGCTGCAATTACATCCTTTGGGCGTGCTACGCGACTCGCCACATATTACAGTGACCTATCTCCGTATAATACGAGGGAACGGACATGCATAATATCCCGTATGATACGGGCCAGCGGACCATGGGCCCATGATAAAAATATCCTCGACTATGACGGATGGGCCGGGAGGCAAATTATTCCCGATGGAGGCGGGTGGGCCCATGCAGGGAATATATAGAGTAGATGAGTGGGCCGATGTATATGAATATTAGGTAGACGGGTGGGCCGAGGTAGTTGGATATTATGCAGATGGGTGTATTAAGGTAGATGTGTATGAGATAGATGGGTAGGTACTTGTTATCACATTCACGGGTGGGCCCAGACACATATTAAATTAGACGGGTGGGCTGAGGGTATTATAAAATATTGTATTAGATGGGTAGGCCCAGACGCATATTAATTAGACGGGTGGGCCGAGGGTGTTGTATGGGATGTTGTATTAGATGGGTGGGCCGAGGGTGGTATAAAATATAGATGGGTGGGCCCATGTGTATCATAATTGTAGACATGATGGAGCTGAGGTAGTTGTACATCAACCAAATCAGAGGAGGTAATAAATCAAAGTTACCGAGTTCCCGGAGCAGCAGGTGATCTCCTGACATGGCCTTTGATGGTGCACAGGTTGTCTTGCAGAATTTGGAATCCGGGGTGCAAAGCTTGTGTTGCCCTACAAGACACCAAGTTCCGACCACCCAAATTTGGGTCAACCATACCGACTTCTGAGTTCCAGGACCCGGGAGTCGACAAATGAATATCTGATAACCAGCACACTTCCAATCAGGTAGTATTTCATTGAGCAATGGATCATCCAAGGGGTCCCTTATCGGACTCGGTAGTCAATATAGGCAAATGATAATGAAAACATGAAAGTTGTTATTATGCTATTTTTCAAACCCGAGACCCTGAAACCCATTGTTCAACATGTCCATTTTTCACTCACTGCACAAATCACCGAGTTTCGAGTGCTGAAACCCAAAACTCAAAACCCGGTGTGCAACACATCGATTGTTCATTTACATTACACAGATCATCGAGTTCCGAGTGTTGAGCGCCGAAACCCGAAAATATGTATGGAACATGTCCATTTCTTACTCATTGCACATATCACCGAGTTTCGAGTGCCGAAACCCGAAACTCGAAACCCAGTGTGCATCATGTCCATTGTTCAATTATATTACACAAGTCATCGAGTTCCGAGTTCCGAGGGACGAAATCCAAACCCCGGACCCCGAAAATATGTGCGCAACATGTCCATTTTTCACTCACTGCACAAATCACTGAGTTTCGAGTGCCAAAGCATGAAACTTGAAACCCAGTGTGCAACATGTTGATTTTTCATTTATATCACACAAATAACCAAGTGCCAAGTGCCAAGTGCCGAAACCCGAAGCCCGAGACCCGAAAATATGTATGCAACATTTCCATTTTTCACTTGTTGCACAAATCACTGAGTTTCAAGTGCCGAAACCCGAAACTCAAAACCGGGTGTGCAATATGTTCATTGTTCATTTACATTACACAGATCATCGAGTTCCGAGTGCCGAGTGCCGAAACCCGAAGCCCGAGACCCGAAAATATGTACACAACATGTCCATTTTTCACTCACTGCACAAATCACCGAGTTTCGAGTGCCAAAGTGTGAAACTTGAAACCCAGTGTGCAACATGTTGATTTTTCATTTATATCACACAAATCATCGAGTTCCGAGTGCCGAGGGCCGAGACCCGAACCCCGAACCCCGAAAATATGTATGCAACATGTCCATTTTTCACTTGTTGCACAAATCACCGAGTTTCAAGTGCCAAAACCCAAAACTCAAAACCGGGTGTGCAACATGTCCATTTTTCAATTATATTACACAAGTCATTGAGTTCCGAGTTCCGAGGGCCGAACCCCGAACCCCGAAAATATGTACACAACATGTCCATTTTTCACTCATTGCACAAATCACCGAGTTTTGAGTGCCGAAACCCAAAACTCGAAACCCAGCATGCAACATGTCCATTTTTCATTTACATTACACAAATCATCGAGTTCCGAGTGCCGAGGGCCGAGACCCGAACCCCGAACCCCGAAAATATGTGCGCAACATGTCCATTTTTCACTTATTGCACAAATCACCGAGTTTTGAGTGCCAAAACCTGAAACTCGAAACCCGGTGTGCAACATGTCCATTTTTCAATTATATTACACAAGTCATTGAGTTCCGAGGGCCGAGGGCCGAAACCCGAACCCCGAACCCCGAAAATATGTGCACAACATGTCCATTTTTTGCTCACTGCACACAGTCCACAATTTCGGGGTTTTAAATCAACCTTTCATATATCCATACACATTTTACCAACCCCCGAACCCCGAAATTGTGGACTGCCGGGTTTCGGGGTTCGGGGGTCCCGGAACTCGGAACTCGGTATGTAAGACAACAAAAATATCTTTCGGGGTTCGGGGGTTAGTGAAATGTTTATAGATATATGTAGGTTAATTCAAACATGTCTGAAAATTTTCATTCGTCTCAAATGTCAAATCCTGAGTTCCGGGCTTCGGGACTTGGCACCCGGCACCGGCACTCGGGGTTCGGGGTTCGGCACTGAAAATTTGACATTCAGGTGTTCGGGTTTCGGGTGATATCTAAATCAACAGCTTCGAGTTCTGCCAAAGCGTGAAACTTAAAACCCAGTGTGCAACATGTTGATTTTTCATTTATATCACACAAATCATCGAGTTCCGAGTGCCGAGGGCTGAGACCCGAAGCCCGAGACCCGAAAATATGTACACAACATGTCCATTTTTCACTCACTGCACAAATCACCGAGTTTCGAGTGCCAAAGCGTGAAACTTGAAACCCAGTGTGCAACATGTTGATTTTTCATTTATATCACACAAATAACCAAGTGCCAAGTGCCAAGTGCCGAAACCCGAAGCCCGAGACCCGAAAATATGTATATAACATTTCCATTTTTCACTTGTTGCACAAATCACTGAGTTTCAAGTGCTGAAACCCAAAACTCGAAACCTGGTGTGCAACATGTTCATTGTTCATTTACATTACACAGATCATCGAGTTCCGAGTGCCGAGGGCCGAAACCCGAAGCCTGAAACCCAAAATCATGTACACAACATGTCCATTTTTCACTCATTGCACAAATCACCAAGTGTCGAGTGTCGAAACCTGAAACCCGGTACTTCAAATGGACACGAATTGTATTTGTATGTATTATCCATTGGTGTAGGGTTCAAATAACTTGGGAATTGTATTTGTCAGCACTCGGTACTCGGTACTCAGTGATTGGTGGTCAGTGGTCGGTACTCGAGACTCAGTAGTCAATATAGGCAAATGATAATGAAAAATGACAGTTGTAGTCCACGTCAAGGTGAGTGTCTTGGTAGTCTTTCCTTGTCATTCGGCAAAACATCAGCAATAATGAAAAAATGAAAGTTGTTATTATGCTTAACTTCCTTACCGAAGGTTGTAGTCCAAGTCCAGGTGAGTGTAGTGATAGTCTTTTCTTGTCAATTGGTTATCTTGTTACTCATTACGCAGTACTCGGTACATGGTAATTGGTACTCAGTATTTGGTTTTGATACTCGGTACCCGGGAATCAGTAGTCAGCTTAATGAAGGTTGTAGTCCGAGTCTAGGTGAGTTTATTTGTAGTCTTTTCTCGTCCATTGGTTACCATGTGACCGAGATATAAGCTAAAGAAATCCGAAACATCAATAATGACAAATGAAATACATGTGTGCAGTAAGTGAGTCTAAAGATAAAAGAATGAATATTAATAGCGAGACTTGCACATTATGTCGAGATATCCAACATAACAAGCCTGTGATGTGATCAGAGACCTGGAATAACACCCATATACATCCATTATAATAGCTTAAAAGCTTAGAAAGATTCATGAAGGATTGATGTAATGATAGGCAAAATGACATATGTGTGGAGAGTGACAATAGACATCTTTTATACAAAGTCACATTTATATATGATTCAGGCCAAAAATATCATTACAAATATGTAGGATAGATCGTAAACTACCCAAGGAACCCATACTGCCTACTGCCCTGAGGGTAGGGGGTGGGTAGAAGGGATATAGTGAAAATATGAGTTGACCCAGCATTAAAGTCCTACCACTGCTCAACTAACCATTTTCGATGCTTTGGGTCTTTGAAGTTTCCCACACTCAATTTCTTACCCATTTCACTTCCTCAGTACTCAATTCTTGGTTGATTTGTCTGTAAATTTATGTCTATGATACTTAAGATATTTGAAATGTACCCCAGGTTTCTGATTATGAAGATTCAATGTTTTGAAGGCATGGGCCCCTTATCAGGCGAAATGGCAAGTATACACACTAGCTCACAAACTCCAGCCTATTGTGAGCTGATCTTGGTCATAAGAAGCAAGAATATAAGCTATGCTCATTATATATTAAAAGGTTGGATCATGGATGCAAGGGCAAGATACTGAAAATCGTGAAAAAATATCACAAGTGCAATTGTCTATGCTTTGTTCCTGGAAAAGGATCCTGTGTGTCCTGGGCTGGTTATATGATATATCTACTCCGAATATGCTCAGGAATAGACTCCCTACAGTCCTTGAGGTCCAGTCCTACAGGGAAAAAACCCCAGCAGGTGAACCACCAGAAGAGGGGGAGGTACACTATACAATAAAGGATTACCCTATGGTCCTGAGCTCCTGATACATTGTTTCTATTGTTGAATAGATGATTGAGATACTATTCACCTAGAAATGAACACATAGGAACATATTTTGTATTTTTATGTATATATGCAATATCCATTCAAGCACCAAGTCTCAACTACCGATTACCAAGTCCCGACACTTGATAGTTGATAGTCAGTATTCGAGCTCCGAGTGCCAATATTGCCTACCAATATCTCAGTCAAATGATAACCAAACCAAGACCCAAGTTCCAAACCTGACTACTGAATACCAAGTATCAGTACTCGGGACTCGGGACTATTGGCTGGAGTACCCAACTATTGATTCACAGGTACCGAGAATTAGAACCAAGTACTGAGTACCTGACTACTGATTCTCGGGTACCAAGTATCAGAACCGAGTACCGAGTACCCCACTACTGATTCTCGGGTATCAAGTATCAGAACCAAATACCAAGTACTGATTCCCTTGTACCGAGTACCGAGTAACGAGATAACCAATTGACAAGAAAAAACTACCAATACACTCACCTTGGCTCGGACTACAACTTTTGTTCAGGAACTTAAACATAATAATAACTTTCATTTTTCATTATTGCCGATGTTTCAGATTTCTTTAGCTTATATCTCGGTTAAATGATAACTGATGGACAAGAAAAGACTACCAATACACTCCCCTAGACTCGGACTACAACCTTCGGTAAGGAAGTTAAGCGTAATAACAACTTTCATTTTTCATTACCATTTGCCTATATTGACTACCGACCAGTGGCTGAGTGCCGAAGCTTGAAACTTGAAATCGGTGGAAAATGAAATCTCGCAACAATGTACACATGAACATGTTTCATTTCCATAAACAATTCCCCGAGTGTCATGTACCGAGCCCCGAAACCCAAAGCCTGAAGCCCGGACTGTGTTGTCAGGTTAGTACAAGACACTCGGTGAATTGTCAAAGGAAATGAAACATTTTCATGTGTACATTGTCACGAGATTTTGTTTTCCACTGATTTCAAGTTCCAAGCTTCAGCACTCAGCATCCGGCACTCGGAACTCGGAACTCGGCGCTCGGAACTCAGAACTCAGTGAAATGTCTAAGGAAATAGAAATTTCACAATTCCCTGAGTTAGTACAAGACACTCAGTGAATTGTCAAAGGAAATAAAACATTTTCATGTGTACATTGTTGCAAGATTTCGTTTTCCACTGATTTCAAGTTTTGAGCTTCGGCACTCGGCACTCGGAGCTCGGAACTCGGCGCTCGGAACTCGGAATTCGGCGCCCGGACCTCGGAACTCAGTGAAATGTCCAAGGAAATAGAAATTTCACAATTCCCCGAGTGTCGTGTACCGAGCCCTGAAGCCTGAAGCCGGGACTGTGTTGTCAGGTTAGTACAAGACACTCGGTGAATTGTCAAAGGAAATAAAACATCTTCATGTGTACATTGTTGCGAGATTTCATTTTCCACTGATTTCAAGTTTCAAGCTTCGGCACTAATTTGGAACTCGGGACTCGATTTTTGAGATGAAAGACATTTTTCAAACATGTTTGAATCAACCTTTCATATATCCATAAACATTTTACCAACTCCCGAACCCCGAAATTGTAGACTGCCGGGTCTCGGGGGTTGGGGGTCGGTGCTCGGGACTTGGGAAATTTGGGGAGATCAATAAAATTTGATCTACAATAAATTTGATTTACAAACAAATTGATTTACAAACTTTTGAAAGATATGTCGTCTCACATATCGAGTCCTGAGTTCCGGGACCCCCGAACCCCGAACCCCGAGACCCGGCAGTCCACAATTTCGGGGTTCGGGGGTGATCTACAATAAATTTGATTTACAAACAAATTGATTTACAAACTTTTGAAAGATATCTGTGTTGTCTCACATATTGAGTCCCGAGTTCCGGGACCCCCGAACCCCGAAATTGTGGACTGCCGGGTCTCGGGGGTCGGGGGTCGGCGCTCGGGACTTGGGAAATTTGGGGAGATCAATAAAATTTGATCTACAATAAATTTGATTTACAAACAAATTGATTTACAAACTTTTGAAAGATATCTGTGTTGTCTCACATATTGAGTCCCGAGTTCCGGGACCCCCGAACCCCGAAACCCGAGACCCGGCAGTCCACAATTTCGGGGTTTGGGGGTGGTAAAATGTCTATGGATATACAAAAGGTTGATTCAAACATGTTTGAAAGATGTCTTACCCGGAACTCGGGACTCGATTTTTGAGATGAAAGACATCTTTCAAACATGTTTGAATCAACCTTTCATATATCCATAAACATTTTACCAACCCCCGAACCCTGAAATTGTGGACTGCCGGGTCCCGGGTTTCGAGGTTCGGGGGTCCCGGAACTCGGAACTCGGTATGTGAGACAACAAAAATATATTTCAAACACGGGTAAGTCAATGTGTTTGTCAATCAACTTGATTGTAAATTATATTTTATTGATCTCCCCAAATTTCCCAAGTTCTGAGTTCCGAGCTCCGGGACCCCTGAACCCCGAAACCCGACACCCGGCAGTCCACAATTTCGGGGTTCGGGAGTTGGTAAAATGTGTATGGATAGATGAAAGGTTAATTTAAACATTTTTGAAAGATATCCCATATGAAATGTCAAGTCCCAAGTTTCGATTTCCGGGTTTCTGGAGTGCCGAGTCCCGAAGCCCGAAGTCCCGAAACCCGGAGTCCCGAAACCCGGAGTTCAAAACTCGGGACTTAATATTTCATATGGGACATCTTTCAAAAATGTTTAAATCAACCTTTCATCTATCCATACACATTTTACCAACTCCCGAACCCCGAAATTGTGGACTGCCAGGTTTCGGGGTTCGGGGGTCCCGGAGCTCGGAACTCAGAACTTGGGAAATTTGGGGAGATCAATAAAATATAATTTACAATCAAGTTGATTGACAAACACATTGACTTACCCGTGTTTGAAATATATTTTTGTTGTCTCACATACTGAGTTCCGAGTTCCGGGACCCCCGAACCCCGAAACCCGAGACCCGGCAGTCCACAATTTCGGGGTTCGGGGGTTGGTAAATCTCGGTTTGGGGTTTTGCACTGAAAATTTGACATTTATACATATCTAGGCTCACCCATATATGTACCCATCTATGTACAATTCCCCCACATCAGCCCACCCATCTATGTATTATCCCCCACGTCGGCCCACCCGTCTATGTAATACATCCTATGTTGGCCCACCCGTCTATATAATTATACCCCACCTCGGCCCACCTGTCTATGTAATAAATATTTTATCACACCCTCGGCCCACCCGTCTATTTGATATCCCTTTTGTCGGCCCACCCGTATATGTAATACTTTTTATGTCGGCCCACCTGTATATGTAATACACCCCGCGTCAGCCCACCCATCTATGTAATATTCCCCTACCTCGGCCCACCCATATATGTAATACACCCCCGTCAGCCCGCCCGTCTATATAACAATATTTGCCTTACATCTCTCTTCAGCCCAGCTGTCTATAATATCCTACTCTACATATTACCCTGATGGGCCCACCCATCTCCATGAATGATCATATTCCCCCGGCCCATCCGTCAACATCAAGGATATATATATCATTGGCATACATGGGCCCACCCGTCTCCATCGGAAATAATATGTGTCCCGGCCCATCTGTCATCATCGAGAATATACACAACATGGGCCCATAATCCGCTGGCCCGTCTCATACGGGATATTATGTAGGTCGGGTGGCCCGTATAATACGGAATTTGTCACTGAAGGGGCTCGACTCGCTTCAAGAACTATCTGTCCAGGATGTTTGTTAACATTCCCTGGGCGTGTTGCAGGTCGAGGCATATTGAGATCTAGGACAAGCTGTTGGAGGAATGCTGGTAGCGAGGTGTTGAAAGAATATGGACCCTAGCAAAAGGTGGCAATGAACGGGTGAAGTTATATTTTTTTTGATTGAGCATGTCATAATTTCTGATTCACACACTTAGTATTAGTCTAGTCTCCATTCTACGTATTCTGCTCCCTGGTATCCATCTTGCTATGACTGCCCACTGTCCACTATGGCCCCAGCTGTCACCAGGCTCGTTTGTCAGTTTCCGAACTGCAATCAGGTCTTCAAAAACAAGTCTGGCCTCACTCAGCACACACGTGCAAGGCACGGCACCCCACAAATACAAAACCTCAATCGCACAGCTCCGCTCGCAGGTCCTGGATTCATACCTCCACGGAGTCGTTCTCCCACTCCAGCAGGTGTTATCGATGAGAATTTCTATCAAGACCCGGCGGGCGACCAGGATTTTGTACCGGAGGAAGGTACTTGGGTGGATATGGGGCGCTTATTCCGTACTTTCCATCCGCACCTCACAGGTGGGCGTTTTTTAAGGAGTTCATCTTACTGTTACTCAATTTTTGTCTTAGGACTCAAATGCAATGCTAATGGGGCATTTATTGACCAGGATGCACCCCCGCCACCTCATATGGATGCCCTCCCAACCAATTGGATGCCTTATGACAATCGTGCTGAATTTGAGACGGCGGAATTCTTATTCACGCGCAATCAAATGTCTGCAAAGCAGATTGATACACTTCTCGACTTGTGGGCCGCGACTCTCATTAAGCACAACGACGCCCCCCCATTTGCAAACCATAGGGACATGTACGCTACAATCGATGCAACACCACTCGGCAATACCCCTTGGAAGAGCTTTACATTGTGCTACAACGGAGCCAAACCCGAACAAAACATACCGCCGTGGATGGATGGACAATATGATGTGTGGTATAGAGATCCATTGGAAATGACGCGCAGCATTTTGGCAAACTGTGCTCTCGATGGAGGAATCGAGTATTCACCCTACCGCGATTATACTACCGAGGACAAACAATATTGGAAGAACTTTATGTCTGGTGACTGGGCATGGAAACAGGCAGTACGCCTTTTTCATATTTACATTTTTGGCATACTAACAATCATCTCAAGGATGATATCGCTCGAAATGAGGAGAATCATGGTTCGACATTTGTACCATTGATTATTGGCAGTGATAAGACTGTTGTTTCTGTCGCTACTGGTCAGACCGAATACCACCCACTCTATCTCTCAATCGGGAACATTCACAATAGCGTACGACGGGCACATCGCAATGGTGTTGTGCTCATTGGATTTCTTGCGATACCGAAATGTAAGTACTTGTTATTCTCAATGCATCACTGTATCATAACCTTCATTTGTCTAGCTATGAAGGAACATAATGATGACATCAAATACAGAAATTTTCGATGGCAGCTGTTCCAGCGCTCTCTTGCAAAGATTTTCGAGTCTGTGAAACCTTTCATGGAAAATTTCGATGTCACACGCTTTCCGGATGGTGTCATATCCCGCATTCTGGGTCCGGACCTATCACACTCATCGTTTCTGGATTTCCGGATCTGGCCGACTTCTATGTATCGTCCGGATCCGACCCGCATCTAACTTCCGTGCCTTATCCCTTTGGTATTTCCCTTATCAGTTAGCACACTTTATTTTCCGTCCCTTATTCATTTCCGTCTTCATTTTACTAAGTTCCGATAGACTAGTGATAGTCGTCCCATATGTTTTCTCCATAGCTTTACATAGCCTCGCACTGCACTTACTGTTCTCCGTTATGTCCTCAGTAGTATATAAACCCTGTACAGTCTCTGTAGTTTCCTCAGTTCGAATATCATCTTAGACTCTGCTCATTCTCTCCTCCATCCGACTTGAGTTTCTCTCTCGTCGACCTCCGCTCGTCTTAGGATTGATTCCTATAGACTTGTCACCTCCGCCTCTACCTCTGGTAGTCCTCCGCTGTTTCCTTTCCAGTTCGGACTTCGTCCGGATTAGTCTTATCTCTTGTTCCCGAACGTCCGCCGGAATTCCCGCGCATCGGACATCGGACTCCGGACATCGCCCGACGTCCTCCAGACATCGTCCGGTAACCTTCGGACATTGTTCGACAGCCCTCGGAAGTTAGGGGCATGTACTCGGGTAAGGGGCGCAGCGCACGAGCTGAAGCCAAGCCCTTCGGATCCGACCCTTGAGCACATTCTTAACAGATGGCCACTATCGACGAACGGTGTATGGCTTGGGCCCTTACATTGCGGACTATCCAGAACAGATACTTCTCTCTGGCATTGTGCAGAACTGGTGTCCATGGTGCGTCATCAAACTTTGTTTTGCCTTTTAATGGCTTATTTATTATCAAAATAGCTGTCTAGGACATAGGAAGGACCTTGACGGCTCTCAACCATGTCTCCATCGATGCGAAGCACATACCGAGTTGCTCATCAAACAACTCACATACAAACAGGCTTGGGATGAGTATGGCATCATTGCCGATCTCATTGTAAGTTGCTCGCTGAAACTCGCTAGGTCTAATCTCACCTTTTCGGCTTTTCTAGCCATTTACAAATGACTTTCCTCGAGCAGACATCCACGAGCTCCTATCTCTGGATATCTTGCATCAAATAATAAAGGGAACTTTCAAGGATCATCTGGTTGATTGGGTGGGAGAGTATTTACTGATCACACATGGTACCCGTCATGCAGCTGAGATAATGGACAACATTGACCGCAGGTACGCAAATCTATGATGTTTTGCTGATAACTACTAATAACATACAGGATAGCAGCAGTTGCCCCATTCACTGGGTTGCGACACTTTCCTGATGGGGGAGGTTTTCAGCAGTGGACAGGTGATGACTCAAAGGCATTGATGAAGGTATGCTGTGTATTCCGTTTCAAACGACATGCGAGCTGACTTGTATTTAGGTCTATCTAGCTGCAATTGAAGGTCACGTTCCTCAAGATGTGGTGCGCACATTCAGTGCATTTTTAGAATTTTGCTACACTGTGAGGCGTGAGGCTCTCACTGAAGATGACCTCATAAAACTACAAGATGCCCTCGACCGCTTTCACCAATATCGGGAGATCTTCAAGACAACCGGTGTGGTCTCAACATTCTCCCTTCCACATCAACACTCCCTGTGCCACTACATATTACTGATTCGACTTTTCGGCGCACCCAACGGCCTTTGCTCTTCGATTACCGAGTCCAAGCACATCAAGGCAGTTAAAGAACCTTGGCACCGATCTAGCAGGTTTGACGCACTCGGACAAATGCTACTAACAAATCAACGCCTCGACAAACTTGCAGCTGCTCGCGTAGATTTTGAGGCATGTGGTATGCTTCATGGCTCTTGTCTGTCCAATGCTTTGGGAGAACTCCGGAAACGTACGTGATTTCTCTCTGACGATTTAGTCCTTCTCATACCCCCAATAGGTTAGAATATTCCTGCAGACAACGACTTAGAATTGGTGGCTGATATGGCGCAAGAAGGCCATCCTGGGCGTCTGTGTATCCACGAGCCTCAAAATCATTCTGTTGAAGTGGATGCTGGTGAGATTATTGATGGACCGGCTGTGGAGTCCCATGTTGGGCTTGCATTAACTCCCCGTATGTTAATTGGTTTGCTCCTGGACCCTTTCTGACAATGAATAGGTTGTGTACGAAATGTTCATGCACTCAGCCTTGAACTCGACCTTCCATGCCTCCCATTTATGATTCAAGAATTCATACATGATCAACACTATTCAGAAGATCCCAACCCTCCTGGAATTGATCCGGCAACAGTGCAAGTATTCCTAGGGAACCTCACCATCTTTAATTCTGCTGCAGCCTCATTCCATGCACCCAGTGATCTGAGTGGTACGGGAGGTATGCGTCGTGAGCACATCCGGGCAACACCATCATGGCGCGTTGGCGAACCGAGGCATGACTGTATCTTCGTCAACATGGGTGTTGACTTCGACTCTCCCATGAATGGACTCGCAGTTGCGCGAGTCCTTTGCTTTTTCTCATTTAACTATCGGATATCATACTATCCCTGCGCCATAGTTCATTGGTACTCTTATGTCCGCGAAGAACGCGATCCCGACACAGGCATGTATGTCGTCACACCAATGACAACTGGTGACGACGTCCCAGACGTCTCAATTATTCACGTCGATTGTATCTTTCGCGCTGCCCATCTCATTCCAGTCTATGGCCCAGACTTTATCCCAAAAATAAGTCCACACAACTCATATGACATGTTCCACTCGTACTACGTCAACAGATACGCAGATCACCACACTTTTGAAATAGTGTGATTTGTGGTATGTCTTTCCCTCTCCTTTTGTCGTCCTTTCGCTAACCAAATACCCTATAGATCCGAGGCTCAGCATATTGAGTATGGCAGGCTCCAAGACCAGAACAATATCGGTATATCGTTCTCCTCCCTCCCCCACGGGCCATCATCTCCACTTGCCGTGTACTCGAACAGTACCATCTTACCAGGTATATCGTTCTCCTCCCTCCCCCACGGGCCACCATCTCCACTCACTGTGTACTTGAACAGTGCCATCTTACCAGAGAGGCATTTGACTTGGCGAAGTGGAGGCCAAGTTTAACCAGTCGCTGGTGAACCTGGGAGAAATGTGTGGCACGCTTGCCACTCAATTGATCGGTGAACCGGCTATGCAGATGATGCTCAATATGTTCCATTATGCCGGTGCCTCCAGTAAGAATGTGACACTCGGTGTCCTGCATCTGAAGGAGATCATCAATGTTGCTACCAAAATCAAAACACCTTCCCTCACTGTCTACCTCGAGCCTGATGTTGCTGAAGAGAGTCTGCTTGCGTACCATGACGGCAGCCGTGGAGATCTGGTAGGACTCCGTCTTCGTAGAGTCATTCTTCGAGGCACTCTTTGGCACGGATGATATGGATCTCAAGGTTTGTATTATACACTTGTACCAAACTGACAGTACTAATTTCGAGTCAACAAGACGAGACTATTGGAAAGTTCGGTAAGTTCTTGTCAAATTTAATATATCCTTGTACTCACTGGGGCCAACAGTCACTCTACGCTTGAGCCGCACACTCTGTTTCGATTCCTGCAAAAATGATTGGTAAGTTCTCATAAAATTCGAGATATACTTGTACTCACCATGGTCTACAGTCACTCGAGGCTCGAGCCACGCGCTCCATTTCGATTCCTGCAAAAGCGGCTCTTTGCCCTCTTCAAGAAGCCCAGTAATCCCGCTCCCACTCTCGCCTTCATTTCATCTGCTCTCGCCATCCTTTTGTCTGCCCTCGCCTCCGCTTCTTCTGCCAACACCTCAGCTCTGATTGTGGCCTCCGCCCAGACAGTCACATCTCCCCACTTGCGCGTCTTCTGTTGCACTTGCACGCGAGATTTTGGAGCCATGCGGTTCACTAGCACCTGGTAAGCAATGATTGATGCGATGATTATCAATTAAAACTTACAATGATGTTTTTTTCTTAGATTTTGTAGATTTTCGCGGTTGATGAGTGGATGTCAAGCGAGTTGTTGTTTGTCGCGCATCTATCAGTGCTTATTCGAGAAAACGCTAATGTAAATAACATGTATATTTTTTTTGGCACTCAGCAGGCGCCTTATTTTACTTTTGCAAATAAATCTACCTTTGATGCCTTAACTGCCTTGTAACAACTTCGCTCCTTAGAATACATTTCGCTAAGGAACTCACTAGTTCCTTATTCTCCTTACCTACCTTAAGACTATTTTTAAGTAACTTTAAGTACGCTAAGGACCAAAAAGGAACTCGATGTTTTCCTGATTATGATACACGTTCAGTGCCATATGCTCCATGGCTACGAAAAATATTGAGAATACTACTAATAGCTCTTGGCCTAGCATGTGATTCTTGAACACGAGTGCACTCCAAATCGCTACAAATGCTCTGTGCAATAAAGCAAAGATCACTGCCTGATATAGCAGAAACTGTTGGTGCACAAATCGTGCACGTGACGACTGTGATGCGGTAGAATGCCAACAGTCGTTATATATATTGGTTGATGTTCATTTCTTCTCCCCTCAGTCTGTTAGATGCACGACTGAGGGTATGTCTCCATTTATCGTTATATCTTTTCTCGCTAATAATCTACCTACGATAGATCTGACTCTGTCTAGGTATATATTAATCTCAGTCTGTTACACGCACGACTGAGGATCTGACTCTGTCTAGATTTCACAGGTTATGAGCCCTGCACCCTCATAAACGAGAGCGTGGAAACCTTCTAGACACCGTCGGAGCTCCGATCAATCGAAGCAACACACGTCATACGCGGCATGCAATATTATCACGCTACTTTGGGCCGGCGCCCTAGAGCTCATTTCAACTTCCCATTTAAGCGAGAAGCACCACATTGACAGGAGCACATGTCCCTATATAGAGAGGATCTTTCGCGTCTGCGTTGTTTTACCCCTCTCTCTTGTACCACCATCTTCTGGTATGCCAACGCACACGCGATCAAGGTCACACGTCGGCAAATTCAACTTAACCAAAGAACCAATTACCCCCATTGCATCAAGCTCCGTTATAGCATTGAACAGCACACCAAAGAAACCTCCTGCTATCAAAGTAACACCTTCTCAAACAAGCAGTACCACGACGACTACTAAGATGTCTATGATGCCGTCTATCACTGCCATCACCCTGAGCCAAACTGATCTCGAGAAGATCGAGGTTCTCGACAGAAGCCAGAACAACTGGAGTACCTGGTCCAATAAGTTACAGAACTATCTCTTGCTCAAGCATGGTGGGGGGTACTTGCTTGGGATCATCCAACAGCCTGATGGCCTTGCTGACCCTACGGGAGCCAGCACTTGGGATTTAAATGATCTCTGTATCATCGCTGCTCTCCGTACTCGTTCTAGCACCAAGGAGCAAGACTTCTTGCGTACCTTCACCAATGCCCACCTTGCATGGATGGCATTGAAGTCGCGTCACGAAAAGGTCGGACCCATTGCACAAATCATCCTTATTCAACAAGGACTTGCCGTCAAATACAAACACACCAAACACCTTTCTACCACTAGCACGCATCTTGGTGACCTTGTATGCCGCATATATGCTATTGGCTTACTGAAGGAGGAAGATTTCCTCACAATCCTTATGCTCAATGCCATGAGCGAGGACTTACCACATGTCCGCAACCACATCGCCGATTCCTTAGCCATCAGCACGTCCTCCACGCCCTATGGGCCTTCCAACATTAGAGCTCGTCTCGATGTCAAGCAACAGCTCATCGACAGCGAGAAGCCTTCTGACGTGGCGATGGCAGCTACTAAAGGAAAGTCCAGACGTCCCACTACCCATAGTTGTACGGAGTGTGGACAGTCGTCTCACTCTGCATGCTGCAGCAACTGTGGGAAGTGGTGGCATACCGCAAAGGATTGTTTCGGAAAAGGAGGAGCCATGGAAGGAAAGAAGGACGAAGTCACTGCCCAGAAACGAGCTGTGCGCATGGGCGCGCCATCTGGTGCGCCAAAGGCCAAGACTACTTCGAAGGCAGCCTCTACTGGAAAGCCTGGTGGGCTTCGTTATGATCAGAATGGGCGTGCTTACCTTCTCGACAGTGAAAGTCTTGAAGCTGTCTATATTGCTGGTCCTGCGCCGTCCCCACCTGAGCCGTCTTCCGTGCCTACCAAAGAGTTTGCAGGCTTAGCCTGTGACAGCGTTCCTTCCACCTTCATTCACAACCTCCCTGATTCCAATCGTGATGAGTACAATGCGCTCTTCGTTGCCCTAGGGTCTCTGGACACCAGCATCGACTGGCACTTGCACACGCAATCCATGGACTTCGCTGGATTGACTTACAAGGCCCCAAACCAACGTGCACGCACCATTGTCGACCCTTTGGTCCTTCCCTTCTTCCTCGATAGTGGGGCATCTGTCCATATCAGCAACACCGAGGCCAACTTCTACTCCCTTCGGCCCATCCCTCCATGCTCCGTCAGTGGGGTTGGTGGCTTGTCAGTCCAAGCTCAGGTGGCTATTGGGACCATATGCTTGATCGTCGCAAAGGGGATCCACCTCACGTTGGATAATGTTCTTTTCATACCTAATGCTACAGTACATCTACTATCCGTATCAGCCCTCTGCTCTGCACACCGCTGTGTGGCATCATTCGACAACACCTTGTGTTGTGTGGCATCATTCGACAACACCTTGTGTTGGGTTCAGTCACGCAGCGGAACCTGTATGCTCACCGGGACACTTACTTCACGTCGCCTCTACGCACTGTCTGGTGGTCAGCTATCTGCTGACCACGCTTACCTGGCTCACCATCAACTGAATCTTGAGTCCTGGCACCATCGTCTCGGCCACACTAACTATCGCACCGTCTATGACCTGGCGCACTCTGGTAACGCTACCGGTATGCCCATTGACCTTTCCTCCCTTCCACCCGTTGTCCTGCATGATACGGGAATCATGCATGGACATAACTACTACTAGGAATAACCCTCAAAAGATTATGTCTGTTAGCACAGTCCTCAGACTAGTCACCCCATACCTTGGTATCAAACCTCGGTCCTATATTTCAAGTTTTATATGGAAGAAGAAGAAAAAGTCATATGTGAAGTAAAATGAAGGTCAAGGTATTGCCTTACCTTTGGCTTATTCACTTTGGCTAGAGAAAACCATTGAGAAAAGCTCAAAGCCTAACAAAAAACCTATCTAAAAAGCCCGTGTCTTGCATATTGTATTTGTATCATTGTTTCTATCTTGTTTTCTCTAGCATTGTTCTTTTATTTTCTTTTATTTAGGATGCTATGACCTACCAGATACTCCAGAAAATATTATTTCTGAGTATGATGTCATAATGATGTCATATAGCTCCACAGAAAGTTCTAGACTATTCTGTTGGAAATTATGATGTAATGTATGAAGTCATAATGATGTCATAGGCTCTAGAATATTCCAGCCCCACTATGATGTCATCTCTGATGTCATTGCTCCATCTTTTATTTGTATTTTATACTTTTATTGGGTTTCACCCAATATTCTGATTGGTTCTCTCTTTATTTTTATTGTTTGCGAACCTACATTACTTTCCCACACAAAATGTATATAAGGAGAGCCCATTCTCCCCCAAAGAAATAGAGATCCCTCTTCTAGGAAATTTTCTTCTCAGAGAAACCCCCTCAGTTGAACAAGACATCTCACTTGTTAAGATCTCCCACTTGTAGCAGAACAAGTGCAGGGAAACGTATCCCTTGAGAATACAAGTTTCTTACAATAAGAAGCTTACGTTACTGTTTATTTGACCAACCAGTCTTTGGTCCATGTGATTTTAGAGACCGTTGTCTCTCCTGTTTTACTGTTTAATTGACCAACTCGTGCCTTGGTCAACGTGATTATTCTTGAGACCATTGTCTCACTAGTGCTATTTGTGCCTATTTGACCAACCAGTCTTTGGTCAACGTGATATTACAGAGACCCCTTTGTCTCTACTCCTATTCATGCCTATTTGACCAACTCGTGCCTTGGTCAAATCTACCCAGTTCATTTCAGTGCCTAGAACGTGCAATCTAGGCAAAGTTATTTGTACTTCAGACCACAGTTCTGAATCTAGGTAGCAAATCCTAGACAAAGTAATTGGAGGTACACATAAAAGCTCTGGCTAAGTTGATCACCTGATTGGTTTAGCAAGCCTCCCAAGAACTCACACGTTATCTACCACGAAAGAAGAAAAGTCGTAGACCGTGTTAATCGAGGACTGGCAAGAAGTCTTATCCAAGTGTAATTGTGGTGTCATTACATTCTTACACGCTTTATATAAGACCCTCGGTTATTAAGACACCGTTTGTGACCACTGCATTCTTGGCAAACAGACACGGAATCATGTCCCGAAGGTCAGGGAAGGGGAGCGGGCAACTCGTAAGCTGGGCATTGTGCATGTTGACTTAATGGAGCATCTGGACACTGTTTCTGCAAGCGGACATAGATACATTATGGACATTGTTGACGACTTCTCGTCTTATTCTTGGGCAATCCCTCTAGCTTCAAAAGCTGATGCCTTCCCTGCGCTACAGGCTTGGGAGCGTGCGCGCGAACTTGAGACCAATTCTAAGGTCGGTATCTATCGCTCGGACAATGGGGAACTGAAGACTGCGTCCATGCGGGAGTGGCTCCTCTCACGTGGAACTCAGCATCAATTCACTGCCCCCTACACTTCAGCGCATAATGGGCGTGTAGAGCGCCTCCACCGGACTCTTATGGGCAAGGCTCGGTCCATGCGCTCAGCTTGTGGTGTTCCACTGAACCGCTGGGACAAATTCGTACTTACAGCTAACTACCTATCTAACCGAACACCTGTCGCCTCGCAGCGTGGTCGCACACCATACGAAGTCTGGTATGCTCATAAGCCTGACCTTTCACGCCTGCGTGAAATCAGCTGCCAGGCATTTGTCCTCGTTCAGAACCGCCACAACCCCAAGATCTTTAATCGTTCAGTTGAATGCGTCTTAATTGGTTATTCTCTCGACTCTAAGGCCTATAGGTGTTACCATTGCAAAACACACAAGGTTTTCATATCATATCACGTATCTTTCATTGAATCTCATAATAATGACTTTACTCCCCTTCATCCCGATCGCCATGTGGATAACCCACCAGCCTCTGAACGCCCAGATTCACCCCCCCCCCCCCCACCATCGAAACCATGATTCCTGTCCCCAACCCTCCCCCACCTACAGTCCAACCCACTTCAGCTTCCACTATTCCTGAACCTATACGACGATCTACTTGGGCACCTGTCCCCTCCAAAAGGCGATGCGCCACTGAAGGTTCGATGTATATCCCAGCCACACAACGCGCTATTTTGAACTCTTCGGCTGTTGCTGAGTGTTTGGAGGCTCTAGACAACATCTGTGCCATCCCTTCGTCAGATAAAGCCTTATCTGCGGATCTCGCTGACCCAGACCTTACAGATCTTGAAGCCGAGTTGGCCTATCTCACCGAGGTCTTTGCTGCCTTACCAGACAGCTTCGACGCGGAACACCCTAACAATCCCACCACTTACGCTGAGGCGATGGCCTCCGCAAATGCCGCAGACTGGACCAAAGCCATGCGCGAGGAATTTGAATCTCTCCGTAAGCTAGGTGTCTATAAACTTGTCCCCCGCACCTCCATACCTACAGGTCGTAGGATCATGAAAGGGCGCCCAGTCTTCAAGCTAAAGTGTGACGAAAACGGAGCAGCTGTGCATTTTAAGGCCCGGTATGTCTGTCGTGACTATTCAGCCGTGTGGGGCCAAGATTACACTAAGACGTCTGCACCGACTGCTCGGCTGGAATCTTTTCGAATCCTTGCTCACCTCGGCGCTGCTCTCGATTGGGAAATCGAACAGCTAGATATCAAGACTGCATTCCTTTATGGGCTGCTTGACGCAGACGAAGTATGTTACATGGACCAACCTGAGGGATTCGTAGAGCCTGGCTTTGAGGATCATGTGTGGGAGCTGCAAAAAGGTTTATATGGCATGAAGCAGGGCGGGTTAGTCTGGAACCGGACCCTAAATGAAGCCATGTTATCCTGGGGCTTCAAACGCCTGAAGAGTGAGCATTGTATCTACTTCCGGAAGTCTGACACTGGTGTCCTCCTCGTCACTATTCACGTCGACGACTTCTTCACCGTTGGGAGCTCGAAAGCCGTTCTATCGGACTTCAAGGGAGAACTCCGCACCAAATGGGAAGTCTCTGAACTTGGCGACGCACAGTTCTGTCTAGGTATCTCCATCAAACGAGATCGGGCAAAGCGCACCATCGCACTCTCCCAACCAGCACTCATTGATCGCATTATCACTCAATTTGGCTTGACAGATGCTGTCCCTGTGCTTATACCTATGGACCCCAGGCTGCGTCTGTCGTGTCGCGAACATTCTCCCCACAACGATGCCGAACGTGAACTCATGGCTTGTACACCTTATCGTTCGCTTGTTGTCTCGCTAATGTACCTCGCAATTGGCACAAGACCGGACATCACCTATGCTGTGCAACAGCTCTGCAAATTCCTTGATAGCTACAGGCGTGTTCACTGGGAGGCCACTAAGCATGTGGTCAGATATCTCAAGGGCACACGCGATCAATGTCTCATACTTGGAGGTGAACATACCACACGCTTACTCGCATACACCGATAGCGATCTCGCCAGCTGCGTTGATACTCGGTGCTCCGTGAGCGGGTACTGCTGCTCTCGGAGGAGGAGGCATCGTGACATGGAGTGCAAGGCAGCAAAAGACTGTAGCTCTCTCGACATGCGAAGCTGAGTATGTCGCTGCAGCTGAAGCCGGAAAAGAGATCAAATGGGTCCGCACTGTACTTCAGGAACTAGGATTCACCCAGACATCAGCTTCCCCTCTCATGTGCGACAATAACGGTGCCATCGTCCTCACAGAGGACAGCTCCTTCCACGCCCGCATTAAGCACATCAATATGGCCTACCATTCTATCCGCGAACATGTTGTGCTACACCAATTGAAATTGCACTATGTACGTTCGAAGGAGAATCTTGCAGACATTTTTACGAAGGCTCTCGCTAAACCGGACTTCACACGTCTATGCGTGTATCTTGGGTTACGGTGATTCAGTCGAGGAGGAGTGTTGGTGCACGAATCGTGCACATGATGACTGTGATGCGGTAGAATGCCAACGGTCGTTATATATATTGGTTGATGTTCGTTTCTTCTCCCCTCAGTCTGTTACACGCACGACTGAGGGTATGTCTCCATTTATTGTTATATCTTTTCTCGCTAATAATCTACCTACGATAGATCTGACTCTGTCTAGATTTCACAGAAACGTCCGCTGACATCAACTCGTCCAGTATGCATCAGGAAAAACCTCCTGTTTTAACTTAGACAACATTAGGATAATTGCATTAATTTGATCTAAGCTCACTAGGCTAGTAAAAATTTGACCTAGGCTCTCTAATTTTTCGAAAATTGTACATAACTAGCGCAAAGTTACAAAAGTATGTCTATCTAAGTATGAATTAACGAAGAAATGTGGGCACTCATCGAGAACATTAGTGGAAGTCCAGTCACGAGGAGCAACATGGCCGAAACGTGGAATCAAATGAGCACTACGATATATATTAGTAACAGGTATAATACTAGCCATGTGTTCCCCATTCACAACAACACGCGAAACTTTGTGTAGTCCATGATTGTGTTCAGGTGCACGAAATGCAGAGAACCATTCAACGTAAGCCAAATGCTTCGGAGGGCGAAATGTTGATGGAAATAGCATAGGGATGGCCTTAGGAGGGATTGAGAAAATCACCCGGACCTGCGCAACTCGATATCCTGGTATAGTTGGTCACATTGTCAATTTGTATCAGCTAAAACAACAGTGACTCACCCTCAATGCCAACTGGCCCTCCAGTGCCATCATTAACTAGCGCGGTATCAAACCAGGGGGCAACATCATCAGATGCAAATTTTCCTGAACGCCGTCCAGGGCATGCATGAACACTATCGACGGTTACTGGGAGATCACCATGGTCACGAGCGTCAACTGATACCCACTTGACTTTGTGAAACACTGGTACAGCTTGAAAGGGTATGTGCACATTAACCGCATGATGTTCGAGCTGCGCAGGTGTAATCATGGTGTTCTGATTCACAAAGCTGAGTCTAACTCTAGCAATGTAACGTGCCAGTGATTCGCGGAAATATGGAGCACCATAGTCGCTCTTGATCTTGTCAAATGTAATGGCCTTCAGAGTCGGATGCTTCGTCATTGTTTGAGAACGACCAAATGACATATCCGGAGGGCGAGTCTGATGTCCTGGATGAAACTCTGTGGCACCAAGTCTCCACTGAATATATTGTTCGTGGCGCAGAATCTTCTCTTTTCATTTGAGCCAAGAGGCCATTTGTGCGAACTCGTTTTTGCGGTTTGTCGAACGGTAGGCATCTTTTGCAAGGTCGATATGGAGACGCTCCATGTATTCAGTACTATAGTTGTCAGCTGTGCCGTACATTTGAATCATGTGAGTATAGTGAAGCACAAAGTGAAGCTTAGGCAGGTTGAATGAGTTCCGAATTCCAAGGTCAACAAATATATCCTTGTTCTCGTGAAAGAGCTCAAGGGCCTCATTGAGGAAAGCTAGCGTCTCAGAGCTGTGGCACGGATATTGTGCGAGATATAGAAAATCGAGCAGACCACGGACGGCACGGAGAAGTCGGGCAGAGGACATATTGTTGGGGAGTCTGATATCAATAATGATGCCAAGTAAGAACCGACAGATTTGGTTGTGCTCGGTGCCACTTAATCGTGAAAGTGTTGTTATACCTTTCATAAAATGTCGAATGTGGTGATTAGGAGGAAGGCATCGGCATCGCGCATCTATCTCTTCACTACTGCACGCTTTGGACAGCCAAGCAATGAGGTGCTTCACAAGACCTTGGTATAACTGATGGAGGATGTCTGGCATGATAGACTCGAAGATATTGGCCAGCGGTAGTGTCTCCCAGAAAGGATGAATGATGGGCTTAATGCCAGCTTCCGTGCATGCGTGAACAAAGGCTACTCCACCTTCATCAAGAGTGGCCAGCACATCAAGTACAGCGGCTAGGTCTCGTGGCTGAAAGTTTGCGTCCCTGGCTGATAAACCTAGTTCATCGGAGGGAGTATCACAATTCGGACATTCCATAGTCTTGACTCCAGTTGCTAAGACTTGCTCTGGATAATCTCCAACGAAGCACGCAAATACAGGGTGACCTCGTCGTATAGCTCCATCACCGCTTCACATGTTGATCCCTTCGATTCCAGCAGTGCTGAGGGGAGCAAGAACACGTCCCATACAAGCATGATAAAGGTTGACAAGCATGCGACATCGGGAGGCTTTGTTTGTAATATGTTCGAGGCGAGTCGTTGGGAGGTATGCGAGAAGAATGTGGGCTTGACACGATGGCTTCCGACGAATCTCTTTCGGAATATTCCCAATAGTCAGATATACAGGATATGCGGTCTTGTTGCGAAACATCGTCACCTGGGTCTTGTCAGATGAGATTATGACCGGGATTACTGTCGCACCGGGGCACTCCTTATCGAGTTTTTTCTAAAATATTGTTGGTTAGTTTTGGGTAGATTCTCAGATTAAGTTTTACGAACCTGGCAGTCCCACCACCATTTACCAGTGTGCATGTCGTGATATAAATGAACGGTCTTGTCTTCATCAGCGTATTGGCGTTCGGGCACGAAGACAAGATACTGGGCAAAATTTGGGTCGCCAAAAAGAGCTTTAATGCATTCAATTATGTCACAATAATAAATATCGAATGCTTGATCCGCAATGATGATCTGTTCACGTTTGAATTTGGGACGGCCTGGGAGTTCATTGTCGATGATCATGTTCAGCTCACGTGAGTTCTTGAAGGAGAGTCCAATCTTTTCACTGAGCTGGAGGGTTTAGAATGAGATAATGCAGATTTTACAGGAGCATGACGAACTCACACCCTCGATTGAAAGAAGATCTGAAAACACTGTCGAGCTAGGACCTCATAATTTGGCCCACCGAGCCATTTCTCAATCGATTTTCGATGCAAATGGTGCATAGATGTTGTCAGTGTTTGAGCCACTTAGTTGAGCATGATAGGTAGAGTTGCTAGGCTGCTGAGTTAAACTAACAGGCTGTCCGGCTTGTTGACAAGGATACTTGACAATGATGGGTTGCTGCTCACAATCACGGAGTCGCTGCTCTACTTCATGCCGAACTTCCCGCTGTTGTGGGACATCAGGGACAGGGGTTGATCCCGAGTCATCGGATTCGCCATTATCGTGGCATGTGGAGTGAGACTCCTGCGGAAGAGGAGGTTCCCATTCATTGAAGCCATCATCGTCCCCATCATCATCTGAATGCTCCTCATCTCCAGGTTCGCCATGTTCGTCAACGTCCAGCTGTTCATCGAACCCTTGCCACTCAAAATCGTCCTCTGTCCCAAAGTATTCACCTTCGAGTTGCGATGGGTCCAGTACTGGAGTAGGGGGAGGATTAAGTTCCAATGAAGAGAGGTACAGAGCTCGACAAACAGGATTGCTGGTTTGAGCGAGGTGCTGACTATAGCTGGTTATTGATGCAAGTTTCTTATCGCACGCAGGGCAAATCATTTCAGGCATGATCTATGAAGAACTCTTGGGTTTGATGACAGATTTATTCTATGAAAATTGACTTACAATGGAGCCTTGTCTGCAGTGGAGAACACGTGAGATTGTCTTGAGCGAAAAGAAAAAGTCCAAGTCTGAGGCGGTTGAGAACAAAGCAGTGGGTATTGCCCATATTCTCAGTGACAAATATAGCTAGTGCATTTTGGTAAAAAATGCATGCATGTTCATATAAATTTCACTTATGAAGTGACCTGTGGTGGTTAGATTGAATCATTCACAGAAGTCTTTCTCAAAGTCTGCCCAAAACATGGATGGATCTAGGTCCTCCGATGCTGACATAGGTTAAATGAAGTCTGAAGACATGAAATTAGGTGGTAGATCGGATAAATTGGGTTGTGGTTGGCTCATACAATTCGAAGCTGGAGGTACCGAAGGTGTCCCGGTTATGTGGTGGATGTTGTTCACATTCTCAGTGACAAATGTAGCTAGTGTGTTTGGTAAAAAATGCACGCGCGTTGCTATGTAATTTTCACTTACAAGTTGTGTATGGCATGGAATCTCGTCCGAACCAATATGTCATGGATATTGCTCGCATTTTCAGCGACGAATGTAACTGGTGTATTTGGTAAAAAATGCACGCGTGTTGTTTGGGTAAACTCACTTACAAGTTGGGTATGACATGGAACATCATCCACGGTGGTGAACCGGGTGAATGGATGATTATGGGCTAGCGTTGTCAGTAAAAAATATGCGGTGGATATTGCTCACGTTCTCAGCAACAAATGCAGCTAGTGCATTTGGTAAAAAAAATGTGCCCATGTTGTTAGTGTAAATTTTAAGAGGGTCCGTACATAAGCCCTTACCTGTGCTGACATTTTGACGGATCATATATAACTTAGATCGAACTGTAAATTGCACTGCTCAGTCATCCCTACAACCAACATTTTGCTCACCATTCCAGTCTTGCCAGAGAAGACCACATTCATTCATTTGATATTTGCGCTCATTTCTGCCTTATATTAGACGCCTTCAAGTCAACTTGAATGGAGCCTGCTTCACGCCGTAAGTCAGTAGTGACATTTACGAGGATGAAAAACTTACCAAATCCAAGCACGACGCAAGGCAAAGGACCTGGCTTTGGAAAATCCTGGTAAGCATGCATATCTCATGGTAGCGGTGCGATGTAGAACTGACCAATTGATCCGGCGCAAGTGTGGGAACAGCTTCAGAGCAAGCAGTCACGCCGCACCAGTCACAGTACTAAGTGTCACAATGATTCGCCAGTCAAAGATCCTATTCCTGCGAAACAGAGCAAGTCGACAAGAGACCACGGTAAGTCTTGACTCTGTAGATTTGAACTATGAAGGATAAGGTTGCTGACACACAAATTAGGAAAAAATTCTCACTGAATGATTGAGAAGTCGGATGACGAGGAAGAACTTGTCCCACCTCCACCATCTCAATACGTATTCAACCCGCCTCCTCGATTGTCCCGTCGACAGCCGCATCACCCTAAGAGTGGTATTCTTACTTTTTTGGGGTCTATACTAACTTACTAAGTATTAATTATTGTAGGTCGCAAGACATCCAAACTGGAGGACTCAGATGATGGTGGCGACTCTGATACTGGCAGCTACAAACATGTTCCAAGCGACGAGAGTGAAGAATCAGACCTGGAGCCAGTAGAGTCTATCGCTCAGGCTCTGCTGGAAGAGGTGAGTCAAGACTTTGAACTCACGAGTGGCAAGGGTTTCTCATTACTATTTGAAAAGACTCCTGCGATCGCAAGTTCAGACCGCCATAGTAAGAATAAACAGGCAAAGGTATTAAGTTCATTTTGGCAATTTGAAGCAGCTGCTGACAAGGCTCAATACCAGATGGTTAGGGTTTCAAGCGCCAGAGAGAGAAAACGTGCCATGGAAGTAAGTAGAAATATTTCTATCGGTCCAGTACTAAGACAATTCTTTATTTTTCAGACCCCCAAGTGGAATGAGTCAGTCTCAACCATCTCGGAGTTCGATTTGTCATTGGTCATGACGGATGACAGTATTGTACCTAAGGAAGAAGAGATTGATGAAGATACTCAATGCAGTGCCTGCGATGTTGCTGGTGCACGATCCAAGAAAGCCTCAGCTCGTGACCCCATGGCTCGTCTTGTTTACACCAGGACTGGGTCAGTGCGTCTTACTGACCAAAATGATGACCTTCATATGGTCATTCAACATGGTATTCTTGAGCTGAAGGCATACATTGCCTTCAATCATGGTTACCCTGAAGTCATCGCCAAGAATACTTATGGGCGCGAAATACTTACCAATGCTGTGCAATATCTCAAGGCAACACCAATTGAGAAACGCATGCGCACTGATAAGGGGTACTTGAGTGCGCTCGTGGGCTTAGTATGTGTTTTCCTCATCACACCATTATGAATGTCAACTCTGGTTGCTTATAGATCGACACTTGTGCCAGTCTCTTTCGTAGAGATATCAAGGATGCAGCCTGCAAGAACATTGTAGGCTATTTTCAGCTTGGCCTGAACTGCAGTGCCATCCTCGAGCGCCTTCTACCGGATCATCTATACATTTTCCCGCAGACTTTTAATGTTTGTTTTCATTTTTAGCACAGTTTTAACATGCTGACACCATACGGTTTAACATTATCAAGGCGCAAGGGCTTCCATCCCCGATTTGCAAGAAGCCATATCAAGCAGAACCTATATTCACCATCCTTTTCGAGATATTTTTTAAGAATATAAAGTCCATCGGCTCTCAAGTTCCTCAACGGTTCCTCGACATTGCGAAAAACAAGGCACATCGCCCCGAGATCCCTATTCCCATGTTATCTATCGTCTGCACTGCGGTAAAATCTATGTCTCCCATTCATTCAACCATTGATAATTTTGACTTGCTAGATCTACGCAGCTCTTCTTGGCAAGAAGAGCAAGTCTAATGACGATTTCAAGTTCACAGGCAATCAATTTTGCGACAACTACAGCTACCATGTCTCCGTATTAGAACAAATTCGAGCGACAGCACCCAACAAATTCCACAAAATGATGTCGGACATATATGAAGAAGTCCAGTAAGTCATTCTCAGCACCGCTACCAGTGTTACTGACCTGAGTCGTCTAGGTGTCTCCGCCTGGATACTTCTGGAACTTATTCCCAGGATGTCAGTCTCACATTCCTGGACATCGATGGCATGGATGACGAGTAGTTCCGTTCGACCATCGAGCAGCGCCGAGTCAGACTTTCGAGGGTGATTTCACTCATTATATTGTTTTATAGTAACATCTAGTCGAACCATGCTCATTCCTTACATCTTTGATTAGCTTACACCTTACTGTGCTCGTCCTGATACCCAGTTCCAATTGAAACCTAATTGATTTGAATATTGCGTGTGATATTAAGCCTGAAAAACATGTCCAGTGCAGCTACAGGATGCTCATAACTATCAATAGGATGCTACAAAACTCTCAATAATTAGCTCTAGGATCGTAAAATTAGTGCTAATTAGCAGGGCACCAATAAAGCGCTCCTAATCATCTAAGTTGTCTAATTAGCGAAAGTTAGACTAATTTTCTCTAATTTGTTCTAATTAGAGCGGGAGGTTTTTCCTGATGCATGAACTCGGCTAAATTCGAAAGTGTGCCAAACCCTGCGGCGACCTCACGACATGCAGTGTAATCATGATGTTTGAAGTGTGCGTCTGAGACGACGCATTCACCATGGAGTAGATGTTGCAACAACATTTTTCACAACTCGAGCAAGGGAGGAGACCCCCTAAAATCTAAACCATGCAGAGCACATGCCCGCTCGAGCAACACAACTTCAGATGAGAATGGACCCAAATGGACCCCCAAGCGACACGATGCGAAGAATATATCATGCACAATAGACTGTGACCATCTACAAGACGTTAAAACTGCCCCTGCGAGGGATGAAGATTGCGATAATTCTGCGTGGCCACTGACAGCAGATTCTGGCAAACGGCTTGCACTACCACCAAATATACACGAAGTTGCTAGAAACACAAAACAAAATCAGAAAGATAGCAAGAATTCAACGGTGAAGTACTATCACCTTGAAGTCCAGACGCGCTACAAGAATAAGGATTATGAACAGGATGCTCGTCTTCCCGTCCAACAGCATGCCACGCAGCAATCCAATTCATCCCAATCAAAACATCACAATCAAGACTGCGCACGACCTCAAACTCAACGTCAGTCGTGAGCACACGGCCATCATAGGAAGCCATGAGAATGTCAGAGAAACGAGAACCCGGTGCTGGCGCTGAATGACTGAGGTCATGAGCAACTGGAATAGATACAAAACAACGACTTGAATCAGTATCGAAGACGACAGAGACAGGGAGACGGCCGATGAACGAGGTCATGATGGTGAGAGCACAAGAGGGGTGTAAGCATGAGAGCTCGACAGCGATGCGATGATCGAGCAGGCGAGAGCTAAAGGCGGTGTAGAACGATCGATCAACACAGCCTCATTACCATCTAAGGCGAGAAAGAGATGGGCGGCAAGATCGTGAAAATCTACCGCCAAAACGTGAAAAATAGCGAACTATAAGACCCACTGCCTAAAGGTAGCGGGAATATGGTGTTACCCAGGTGGAATTTTCAATGTATCTACTACCCACAGTGCAGGAAAACAACGGAGAAACGGAGAACTTGGATAACATGGCCCATACTTTCATCTGTACATGTCGCTAAATTACAAAAGGCCCACCTTATATTTCACATGTTCATGCCCGCCGACCAACAAACTCTCGCCAAGATCGCACCTCCGGGGGTATCTTGCCCTCGGTATACTTCGTCAACCCACCCTGGGCTATCTTTTTTCCAAGTGCTTCTACCCACAGCTGTGCGCAACGGGCGTTGTTAAGTAACGGCAGTCCAAAGTCCACAGCGTTCCTCCGTGCAACATAGTCCTCGTCATCGAAGCCGGTGCCGCGTGCCTTTGCGAGGTTTATCACACACTGGATCTCATACTCGTCGAAGACCTCACGCAGCTTGCGCTTGTCGGTCTTTGGGAAGAAGATGCGCTTCGCAGTGATATAGGGGAGGTTGTTGAGATATGCTTCGACCTCAGGCGAGGAACAGTAGAGCTTGAAACCGAGATAAAGGAGCTCCTTGGCAACGGTGGCCATTTCAGGCTTGGTGATATCTCCACCGATAAGGACACCAGAGTTAAGGCGGGGAACTTTGAAGCCTGTTGTACTGAGCAATGACGCCCAATATGCCTCGTGGATGTCTATGCCGAAGCTGGCGACTTCACCCGTGCTGGCCATTTCTAAACCAGATAGTTAACAAAGTGAACTCTGAAGATAGACCGGATGCAACCAATACTCACCCACACCCAGGAAGGGATCTGCACCTCCCAGCCGAGTCCAAGAGAACTGAGCAACCTTGATCGAAGTATAATCACGTTTCTGCTTCATCAAATCAACAGGCTCTGGAACATCGTGGTCCATAATAGCTGCCGCTGCGGTCTCGATGAAATTATGGCCAAGGACCTTTGACACGAAGGGGAACGACCGCGATGCCCGCAGGTTGCACTCAATCACTTTGAGCTGAGGCTCGTCATTGGGCCCGTCAGCAGGCTTCTTGATGACCTGCATATTGTAGGGACCAGAAATCTCAAATGCAGCAGCGACCTTCTCCGCGATGGTCTTCAAGCGTGCCATGTCCGTCTCTGTCAGCGAGAACGGGGGTAGGACAAGGGTGGCATCGCCCGAGTGTACACCAGCATTTTCAACGTGCTCAGAGACGGCGTGGACGAGGAGCTTGCCCTTGTGTGCAACGGCATCGACATCGATCTCTTGCGCATTATCGATGAACTTTGTAATGACGACAGGGTGCAGGGGCGAAACAGAAGCAGCAGCGGACAGATTATACTCCAAGGAAGACTCTTCATAGACAACGTTCATGGCAGCACCGGACAGAACGTACGACGGGCGGATGAGAACCGGGTAGCTAAACAGAGGGATCAGCAAGTGGGTTTAGTCATTAACTAAAACGATACACACCCAACTTTCTGAGCGAAGGCTTTCGCGGCTTCCAGGTTCGTGACCTCACACCACTCCGGCTGATCAACACCGATGCTATCCAAGACAGAGGAGAACTTGTGGCGGTCCTCGGCAGTGTCAATCTTTTCTGGATCAGTACCAAGCACTTTGACGCCATCCTGTTTGAGACGAAGCGCTATGTTCTGGGGAAGTTGACCTGGTTCACGACATTAGTTTCCTACTCGGAATGCTTGTCAGTAATTCTAAACTTACCACCGACACTGACGATGACACCCTGAGATTGCTCAAGTTCATATATGTCCATGACACGCTCGTAGCCAAGCTCTTCGAAATAAAGCCTATCAGCCTCATCGAAATCTGTCGATACCGTTTCGGGGTTGTAGTTGATCATGATCGTGCGTTTGCCCATACCCCTCAGTTTCCGTGCGCAAGTAACTGCACACCAGTCGAATTCAACTGAGCTGCCAATGCGATACACACCGCTTCCGAGAACCATGGTACCATGCTCATCGAACTCAACATCATGCTCAGAGGCATTGTACGTCGTGTAGAGGTAGTTCGTGTGCGCTGGGTATTCAGCGGCCAGAGTATCGATACGTTTGACGAAGGGAGTGATGCCAAGGGATTTGCGGTGAGCGCGGACAATGTTTTCAGTCGAGGCAACGAGATCACCAATCTGCCCATCGGAGAAGCCCATGCGTTTGGCTTGCTTCATGAGTTCGAAGTCTATGTCTTCGATGGAGCCAACTGTCTTGATAGCCCTGCTCGTCTGAACGATATTGTCTATTTTGTAAAGGTACCACTAGGGACAAAGTGAATACAGTGACGCTCGGTTGTGAACGAACTCCTTACCTTGTCGATCTTGGTCAAGTCATGCAACTGGTCAACGCTGTAATTCTTGTTGTACATCGCATAAGCAATAGCAAAGAGTCGCATATCCGTGGGCTTCGACAAAGCATTATCAAGATCCTCAGGCTGAACATATGCCTCGAACCCTTTCCACCGCGGGTCGACCTGGCGAATGGCCTTTTGAAGACTCTCTTCGAATGTGCGACCAATGGCCATGACCTCCCCAACACTCTTCATTGAGGACCCAACTTCGCGGTTGACCTGTGATGAAAACTTTGCGAGGTCCCACTTGGGAATCTTAGTGACGATGTAATCAAGAGAAGGCTCGAAGCAAGCCGTAGTGGTCTTGGTCACTGCGTTGGGTAGTTCTGGAAGGGTATGTCCGAGGGCGATTTTAGCGGCAGTGTAGGCAAGCGGATAACCAGTAGCCTTAGACGCCAGGGCACTTGAGCGACTTAGACTGTAAAAAGGTGTTAGGTGTAGAAAAATATGAAAAGAACCATGAACGTACCGGGCATTAACCTCAATGACACAGTATTCCTTGGACGTGGGATTAAGTGCATACTGGATGTTGCACTCGCCGACGACACCAAGATGCCTGATGACCTTGATAGCAGCGCTACGAAGCATGTGGTATTCGTCATCCGGGAGAGTTTGAGACGGTGCAACCACAATCGAGTCACCGGTATGTGTACCAAGAGGATCAAAGTTCTCCATATTGCAGCAGATGATCGTGTTCTAACAAGAGCATACGCATTCAACTTCATAAAGCACAACAAAACGGAATCAACCTACATCAGCACCATCACGAACAACTTCGTATTCGAGTTCCTTCCAGCCCTTCATACTCCGCTCAATCAAAACCTGAGGGGACAGACTCAAACTCTTTGCAGAGAGATCACGAAGCTCGTCGGGGTTGTTGGCAAAACCAGAACCGAGACCACCAAGAGTGAATGCTGACCGAAGGATGACGGGATAACCGATTGTCTCTGCTGCATCCAAAGCTGCACTGACGGTAGATACAGCTGTGGACTGTGCAACTGGAATGTCGATTTCTGAAATGAAAAAAGGTTGTGATATGGTCAACCAACAAAAATCGGTTACGGGTACCTTTGAGAGCTTGCACGAAAAGTTCACGGTCCTCAGAAACTTCAAGAGTACGGATCGGAGTTCCGAGGACCTTGATGTCCAGGCGCTCGAGGACACCCATTTTGTCCAGCTCAATACCAACATTGAGTGCACTTTGACCTCCGAAAGTCAAAAGGATACCATCTGGACGCTCTTTCTCCAATACATATGCAACGTAGTCCGCAGTGATAGGAAGGAAGTAGACTTCGGATGCTAATTCATGAGACGTCTGCCAGGTTGCGATGTTAGGGTTGATGAGAACGGCATCGACACCTTCTTCGCGCAAAGCTTTCAGTGCCTGCGAGCCCGAGTAGTCAAACTCGCCGGCTTGACCAATGCTGAGGCCACCACTGCCGACGATGACAACCTTTTTGACATCTGGACGGGGAAGCTTGGGAAGAACCTTGGCAGAGATTCTGCGAGCAATCTCTGATGGCGAGTTAAGGACATGTTCGCCATCCTTGGGGATATATGAGCCGACTGCTGGTGCAGCTACTGCTCGCAAGGTATGTGTGGGAAAGAAAAGTGCCCGATGTGGAGTGGAGTGAAAAGAGCGAGCTCCAATATTTTTACATCTAGAAAATTGACGGAGAAGAGATGACCTTATAGGAAGGGCCATCCTTTTCTATACAGCCTTAGCTAGGCAGGTCTTCAAGCTTTCAAGCTGCAAGGAGGGAAAAAACGAGGTCACTAAGATAGCTAAGATGGAGCACAAATTTCAATATGAGTCGGTAATCAGATATTGAGGACGTACTCGTCGCGTGTGTTCTGAGTGAAAATCATACACACTCTCGCGGCTCAGCAGGGAATTCGAATCCACACTTGGCGGCGATGGGCAACTTGTGATGACAGCTAAACAACAGCTAGAGACGGCTTTTTCCTTCTTTTTAACCTGCGTACAACGTGACCTAACATGACTCATGAGAAGCTTCTTAAAGCGGAAGGTTCATCGCGTGCATCAACACGTTTGCGCATCAACTACATAGTATGGTCAGTGCTGCCGGCTAAGCTAGATCTTCAACGAGCTTCAAGTTTAGAATGCGAGTGACATGAGATCACTGATAAGGATCTCCAGTAATAGAATTTAACCCTGGCTGCAGTTCGACGTGGCAGGTCGCTCACTGTCATCGCGCAGGTCGGAGACAACTGACATCACACTGGATTTTGAAAGAGTACAGCTATCAGTGTCGTGGCACTGGCAACAGCGCGTGTATTATGCAGTAATGTTCTAACCAGCTAGCAAGTGAGAAATACCACTGCGAAAAGTTTGTGTGTCCAAGAGGGAGTAGACAAATATGATGCTCCGGGCGAGAATTACGAGGGGCTTAGGGCCGCAAAGTCCTCGAGCTCAATAACTTCAGAAGAATGAGCATCCTAAATGAAGAACATGCTGCCAGGTCAGCAAGCTTTGAGCTTTTGAAAAAAAAAGCATATGTCCCGTGGTGCCCTCCTGTCGGACGTGCATTATTTTACGTGGTCGTCCGCTCGATGGAGCGTAAGGTGTCCAATATTGGCTTCGTGCCGATTAGCATTGTCAGAGTAAGAGCATTGAAAATTGGCGTTCCAGTTATTCCAATACTCAGCACTGTTTGCTGTTCTGGCAGCAATACCTCACGGGAAGATGGATCCATAGCGTACAGGAGTTCAGTTACGCCTACAATGGGGGCTGTGACTTGTATGAATGGTAAGCTGGGCAAAAAGCTGCTATCGCCTCAGCGCAAAAGGAACCAATGTCTTCCTTCTGTCTGTTTTCCTGCGGAAGACTAGGTCGTTTGAGGAGGTCGTGGAAATCCCTGGGTACTCCCTGAGCTCGTCCCAAATAGTACAAGGACTTTTGAATCAATGGAGAGCCAATGAAGGCAAATCAGCAATTCATGAATTGCGACCGCACCTCGAAGAGTCTCGCCTGTCCTTGAGGCCCACCTTGCTAGCTTCTGGCGCATAACGGCGTCCAAATCTAGGAGAGACATGAGCGACGCTAGCCTCGCTTTCCGTGGTGACAGCCGCAATTGGTTCCAGGCGCCTTCCTCCCGCAATACTTCCGGAGCAGCCTTCTCGATAGAAGGAACTGAATTCGTAGATTAATGGGAAAAACTATCACAGTTGGATCGCAGAACTGTCACATGTTGGTCTGCGAAGCTCTGTAGCCTGGGGCCTGCGTGACTCGCGACTCCAACCAAGCGGCAGGCCCCAGGTTTACCTACATTACCGATTTGCATCGTGCACTTCCTGAATGGTTTAACCACATCAAAGAGTCGCACGGTAATTTGTTTCTCTCACCCACAAATAACACAACGATGTGATTTGAACACCTCAAGGCCCCAGTCAGCTGGATCCGTTACTTGAGCACTCGTCACTGGTTTAAGTACAATTGAATGTTTAACAGAGTTTACTAGGGTAGTGAGATGAGAGATGTGTTTTGATACAATGTAAGGCATAAAAACTTCGGGTTAAGTTGGATCTTTCTTCGCTCTCTTCTTCCTCTCCGGCTCTTCATCTCGCGACCTCTTGCGACTTGAGGGCTTTACACTTTCATCTGTGGACCACAATGTCCCCTCAGAATCAGATTTAGTTCTGCAAAGCAATCAGTACGCAGGATGGAGACCCTCGTCAACAAAACTTACGAGTACTTTGAGTAGTCCGACTCCGAAAGATCATTGTCTTTATTGGATTGATTTGCTTGCTCCCACATCGCCACGCGCACCTTCTTCCTCTCGCCTTTCAGCCATCTGATCCTATACCTGCGCGGCTCCCTCTCCAGCTGCGCTGTTCCATCCCAAAGTTCCTTCTTGACTTTCATTTTCTCGAAATAAGAGAACTCCAGTCGCTCGCGCATTAAACACGTTTCGCGTAGATCGGGTAACACCCCAGTCATAATGGTAGCAGCGCGTTCAAGGAGCTGCTCTGACTCTAGAACCCGGGCCTCGAGGAGTGGCATGCTGTCGACGAGGCCGGTGAATGTGCACAAGGAATCGCGGTTCTCCCATTGGCTGATTGGGAAGTGAGGGTTGTCGTTTGAGGTGCAGGGACGTTGTGCAGGTTTCGTCATGCTAGATTCTGAGCTTTCGAGTGTGGGATATGAAATTGCTTTTAAAAGCACTTGAGTCTTGATGTATTTAAAAAGGCCACAGTTAGAGTCCACAAGACACAAATCCGAACAGTCGGTGTGCTTACCTATTACCTATTGTTCTCCAGAGCCGGGTATGCTTGGACCTTCATGGAGTGGCTCAGGTCATATGAATAAGAGGAAGTGTATCACATTCGAGAAAGACCCTAGGAAGGTGGACATCGTCTTGCAAGTCGCAGCTAGCTGCAGCCTGGCATGATTCATGCAGAATTTGAGATGATGATCTACCCTGGCGATCACTTGGCGATCTCGCAGTCAGACACAGCGGAGACGAACGCGGCGTCACTGAATGTTGTTCTCGATGTGGTTTTTTACTTGCTCGCCTTGGACTGGTACCCTCGAGCGAGCCGAATTCGAGACCGTAAGTAATAAGGCTTTACTAGATGAAAGCATGAGCATCATCGATGATCGTTCTCTGGTTTTGCCACGCCTCGTGTCCGCTAGACTTGTAAAGCAATTGTCTGACTTAATCTAAGGCAAGATGGCCGAGCGGTCTATGGCGTGTGACTCAAGCGCAAGCTTGCCTGCAAAGCAGGTTTCTCATCCTCGTAAGAGGGCGTGGGTTCAAATCCCACTCTTGTCATTATTTTTTCTCTTTTTCTCTCTAAGTACTCACGTAGCCCTGCAGCAGGGGAATGCTGCCAGTAGAGTTTGCCCAGTCCTCCCAGGCTTCGTCATCATGTAGTTTCTTTCGCCAAAGGTCCTGGTGCCGCTCACTGTTGATTGCAGCTGGGACTCGTCGATGATTTGACCATGCTTTCTTGTTGCCACAAGTGAAACTGTTCCCGGATCCTTGCTTTGACCGCGGACTTTTGTACTGAGATGATCTAATCTATTGTTCTCTAGGTACAAGCATACATCGTGTATTTAAGTTGTAGATGTCAATCCACAGAAGCCCACATCACGCAAACAAATTTAAAGTACCACAGGTTAATTCCAACCTCCCTAAACATATCTCCAACTTGATCTAGTAGCACATCTTTTCATCGGAGTACCCGTGCTTTCACCACACTACACAACATGACTGAAGCACTCCTTCATGATGTTCACTCATCTAACAACCCAATCCCAGCTTCGGGTTCTGGGGGACTTGACATGAGCGAAGTCACTCTTGCCAAATTGTCCCGTGCACAGCTGCAAAAGGTAGCTAAGGTGTGTATTGCATTTGTGGTCCTGGAGGCCAGCTACTGAACTAAAAATAGGCTCATAAAGTAAGAGCGAACATGAAGAGCGCGGCAATAATTAGAGAGTTAGTAAAACTCAGCGAGTTTATTCCGCTGCTGTACGTGCACTGCTTCATCTTCGATGTTATAAATGATGCTGACGATCGTTTAGTCAAGACGAAGAGAGCGAAGGGCCCCCGAGAAAGAAGTCCCGAACGACGGAGGGTCCTCCTGCTGCTGGTCCCTCAAGACAGGTCATAGACTTAGCTATGGACACAAGTTGTGAGCATCATACATCGCGTCGCAGTGCAAGAAATCTAACACCTGTCCAGTTGATTACCCCATCATCCAGGAGGATCCCCCCAAATCCATTATGATCCTAGCAGCCGTTACTCCGGTAAAAGCAGTCGGAAATGCTTCTGGCATAGCGCTTCAAAATCTAGCAGGAAAGTCGCCAAGCCTTTCACCGTTACTGGAAAGCCCCAAGGGGCACCTGGCTATGGATGATCACTCCAGTGATTCAGGTGGTTCCTACTTGTCCTACGAAAGTCCTAGTCAGCAGGGATTCCCCGTCAGCCCGCGTACAGGAATGCCTCCTCCAGAAGAACCACACATGCTCAACCGGGCTGTGAAAATCATGAGGCAGATCACGGCCGACGATCAACGTGTTCTTGCCCAGGCTACTGCTCTCCGCCGGAGAGCGGCGGGGCTGAAAGAACAGGCGAGGAATGTCCGAGATGTTATACGCGCTGAGCGGGGGCGCCGTGAGAGATTAGAGGCATACTTCACGTACTGGAGGGAGATTGCGCCCAAATGGCCAAAAGATTGGATATACGAAGAAGGCGAGGAGGATCAGATCCGAACAGAGCAAGTATTTAAGGCTATAACACCAACGTATGTGCTCTTCTGTCATTGACTTGCTCGCATTTCTGACCACTTGGTTAATAGGCTACCGTCAACAGGACCAACAGGCCCACCCACCTTGTCTTTCGACGGAAGAGACGCACCGTGAGTTTTCGTTTGCAGTTCGTTTTTCCACTCAGCCGACGGTGACTATCAGGGACTCGCATAGGCAGCCACGACAGGAAGCTCATTGTCAGGGGAATGGGACAGCTCCCCTTCCTGCAGAAGACAAGCAAGAAGGTGAACATTCCAATCACCTGCCTTCGCCGCAGTTGGCCACCAAAGGAAGAGTGGCAAAACGAAAACATCACGCTTAAAATGTTCACGATTAGTACCTTGAGAGAATATTTTACCATCAGTCATAATATATCTCGTTCTGACTTATATCACTCACAAGTCGTGTATTTACTATACCTCGCCATCAGGAATAACTCCTGCTCATCCATTTGTCCCTGACAGGGTTATCTTGCGTTCCCCAGTCTGATTCGTGCTATATAACCTATTTAGCAGCGGTCAGAACGAATATAAATATCGCCGCACCGATCGATTGAGCCTTGAGATCACCGGTAATAGGTAAGAGATGGTGCTCATCTGGCATACATAGTTCGTCGTGATTCACACTGTAATTTTGCATGATATCATCTGGTGGCGAGTACATAGTGTCAGTGTCAAAGCGTTGGGAAGACAAGCGAGTTGTGAAAAACTGGTAAATCGAGACTCCATGAGCTATTTCAAGCCGATTCTCATTTAGTATATGTATAAATTTCTGGAAGCACATACTAGAGAAATAAAGGGAGGACTCGTGACAAAGGTAGTTTCCCGTAGTCAGGCCTCTGCAGAAGAAAGAAAGTCGTTGACAAAGGTAGTTAACGAGAGAGCAGTGACGTACCAACTAAAGAAAGTTATCATGGACAATCATCCAACTTGTCACGGTAACTGGTGTTCTCTGCTCATCTTATCCTACAAAGCACTATAAAAATTCTCCGGATGAGTACCACAAGCGATCTAAGAGTGTCCTTGATGGATATGCAGGCGAAGGAGCGCGCACCAGCTATGGAAAGCTACAGTTTTGGGTAAGCAATTCTATTTTGCGGCGCTTTCTATCTCTGCGACTATTAATTGAGCTTGAGTGGGAGGTCATAAGTGATTGAGGACTATGTGGAAGCAAGTGTAGAGGAGAGGGAGGCGGAAGAGGGCAAAAGTCTGACCTACAAATGAAGAGCCGCGGCAGCCTGGCAATCTCTTATATATTGTAACGTTAAACGATATCCTAGTAGAACACTCATTTTACCATCATATATTACAGAAGAACGCGATCACCATTCCTCTCGACATTTACACGAAGCTTCAAGTTTCAGTGTCAACATTTTCGCCCGCAGCAAGATATTCGGGGACCTCATCGAGGACCCAGATGGGCGGCATAATCAGCGCCTTCGAAGTTCGAGAACGGCAATACCTAGCGAGTAGTAGACACAAATATAAAAACAACGCAAATACTACATGAGTGCCACGATAAAATAATAAAAGTAGTCGCTGGCTGTGTCCGAGTTAGGGATTTAACGAAAAGCAGTTGATGGAGAACGTTTCCCTCTAAATAAAGGACAGTCGGGCGAGATTTCCCCCGGTCATACAGCGATTGGGACTGCATTCGTCTCTTCCTTCTTCCCTCCCGCAGCCTTGGCCTCATCAATTGCTCTCTTCGCAGCTTCCTTCTGTTTCTCGATATCCTTTAGCTTCTCCTTCACATCCTGCGGCTTGTTAAATGTGACGCTTCTGTGATGACTTTGAGCACCCATGCTCCCCGTCTCTGGCGCCTGTACGTTTACAAGGGGTGCAGTCGTCGACAGGCCGCGGTGAAACGTAGACGGGAGAACCCGCCCGTCTGGGTGTTGGAAGGGGCAAGATGCGCGCGTGCAACCTGCACCGAAGCGACATTGTTGCGCGAAGTGATTTGTCTTTGGAGGATGCGTGTACGGGCAACTTGGGCGTGTGCAAGCACCACCGAAACGACATGCGACGGTGTGCTGAGGAGGCCCAGTGGTAGTAGTGGTAGGTGGGACTGGTGTGTGAGTTGCGCCTGCGACTGTTGGGTAAGCTCGTGTTGTTTTTACAAAGACAAAAAACCAACGTACCAGGGTTTTTGACAGCAGGGCTGACATGCGACTTGATACAGTCCTTGTCTTTGCAATCCTTGCCCTTTTCGCACGCCTCGGTGCTTAGTACAACGCCACTCTCAGCAGTAGCGACAGGAGACGGGTGGGAATATCGGCACTGCGAGTTAGTGCACTTGATCCCGAATTTGCACAATGTAGGCGATTGCGGGCGTTCGGGGAGGGCATATGCTGGTTTTAGAGGTGCATTGGATGACACGGCGCTTGCGGGAAGCGGAATCGGCGCTGCTATTGGTGTGGACTGTGCGGGTTCAGCGATTACCGAAGCGGGGGCCGATACAGGTGCAGGCACTTCCTCGATAGATGCTGGAGCAGGTGACGAGCCCATGTGCCCGCCCCGTGAACCTCCTCGCCCCCGACCCCCTCTCGCTGCACCCCGACCTCTGCCATTCACCCCATTCTGTGGGAAGCTATGTCCATTCACACCTGCGCTACCATTGAACATCGCTGCATCTCCACCCTGCTGCATTGGGTTGAACCCAGGCATACCCATACCGGGGTTAAGCATGCCCATCGAGTTCGCCATCTGTGCCATAAGAGCCATTTGACTTAACATCATTTCTTGTAGCATTAACGGATTTGCCTGCATCCCCATGCCTACAGCCATTTCGGGCATACCCATACCATTTGGGAAGCTCATCATCGCGCTTGGGTCGGGCGAGGCATTCGTGATGTTGTCAATACGCGCTTGGACTTCATCTCTTCCACCTTGGAAGCGCGGACCAGGTCCTGGACCGCCGACGCGGTCAAGAAGACTACGTTGTGCGGGTGCTTGGTTCTGCATGGCCCGGGGACCAGTGGGTAGTAGGTCTGTGCGTCGGGACTTTGCTGGATGTGCAGATGGTGAGGGCGAGCGAAGACGCTTTTGAGATGTCGAAGGAAGAGCGGAAGATATGGCTTGTTGATATAGTGGTGCACCTGCTCGAGGACCATTAGGCGGGCGGCGCGCTGGGTCGCTGGAGGGTGGTTGGGTGACGGGTTTTGATTCATTAGGTATTTCTACAGGTGTTGAAGATGCAGCAGACGGAGCTTCAGATTCCGGCGCGCCTTTGGCAGCTTCGGCGAAGAGCCAATCTGTGAAGCTGGGTTCTGGTGGTATTGTCAACGAGCCACAACGCACAGGGCACTAAGGAACATACCAAATTCTGGACCAAATTCCGGACCAATTACTGGAGACGTAGTCAGTAATGAGATTTGGGACGCAAAAAAAAGCCATTCACAATCCATGAGTTCCGAAGCTATTTGTGCTGTACAATGCGATAAGCCAGTGTCAGCAAAGAAGCTCTTGATACCACAAACCTGCATTTTTATTGTTTATAATCATAATGGTGATATATTCCGCCATGACAGGATCTGTTCCAATAGTGAGTGTCAAAGACCTAGCCGTGAACAAGACTGGGCGCTCACCAGCATCGGGACTGAAACTACGAGCTGTGAGTTCATCCTGAATGGATTTCTACACAAAAAAAGTGAGTTGGGCACAGAAGAAGAGTAGTACATGAGCAAGACATACTTGTAGAGCAGCTGCACGGTCAGTTCCGATGATAAGACCGAAAGGCATGATGGAATGAGTGTGTCAACGACGAAGGCGGCGACTCCCAACAAACTCCCGCTACAAGTCTCAAACATGACTAAGCAAATGCCTTGATTGGGCCAACTGCCCGATCTCAAAACATGAACAAACTTCGAAATATAACATGAACCACTCGTAGGTAATCCTACGTGGCTCACGAGTCACTTGCTTGAGCAGGTGCGCTTTCTTGCCGGCCTTAGTGCTTCTAGGCGAACGCGGACCCGGTGTGTTCCGAATGTATTGGGTATTCGTAATGCGACGCTTAAACCATCCCTGAGGCTAAGGCGTAGTCCTGTATTTATCTTCATCTGTTCTGCTACTACGACGATATGAATCTCAAAATGAACCCTCATACACATAGGTCATGTCTCTGTGGAAGGACTACTTTGTCCGTTGATGGATTCTTTTGCTAGGACTTCCAAACACTTTCCTCAGGGACCGTTAGTTTTGAGCATCTTCCAAGCATGAACCTGGGTAATACTTATGAAAGTACGCGTGAACGGATTCCTGGTCAAGGTTCGAGGTGACGACGGCCCATCAAGTCGGGCGAGGTACTATATAGGTGTGCTATTAATTTATGAGTCTGAGTGGAGGGCCCGACCGTCTAGCTTGGGTATTCGCATTACATTGAGATATTGTCACCCACTTCATTCGGGGCTGAGGTGTATGCATCGAGTTGGTCGTTACCTTTTCTGCTGGCTTTGTGAGGGGATTCTCTGGCACCGTCTGGATCGTAGGATTAGCCTTGCACGCTGCTTTCGTACAGTCTGGACGAAATTCGACGTGCAAGGCAAATCCTACGTCACGTAACAGCACTCGTGGAACAGATATGGAAAGCCTAAGCGCGAGGGTATTTAGGTACCGCGGATGCGACCCCAAAATCAAAGACCGGACAGTGCAGTCAGAGAGTAAAGCACTCGAGTGCCAGGAACACATTATCTCCCTGGATTTAAGGAAGCTGTTCACGCGTGAACGTCAAGCACGTTCCCTCTATTGAAGTGGCGTGCAGTGCTGATAGCAGTTGGAACACGCAGTTGAGGGTCACTGGACTAACGTGGCCAAGTATGTTTAGACAGCTGCCAATGCGATTCCCGTCTACGTCGGGTTTAGCAATAAACATGACAATATATAGGGAAACTTGAAGTAGGCCCAACGGAAGGAGCTTACCATCGGAGTACCGGCATCGTTAACACCGGTCGCGCCATGCAGGGGGAAAGAATAAACCCAGCACTCCAACAAAGAACATGTTTGTCAGCGTGCAAGATACGTAAACCGACTCGGTCCTGTCCATTTGGAAATGGGCCAGATGACACTGCTACACCGCCTTCTTCTGCGGCTACGCTATCTTTTAGGAAGAGGGCATCCAACAAGGCGGGCTTCCCCAACTGTCGTCATGTCATACTTCTCTGCCTATGAACTTATAGGAAGAGAAAATGACATCACCAAGTAGGGCCCCGGTAGTTCATAGTACTCGCTCCCGCACACCGTGTCTGCAATTTTCTCCATAAGAGTTTTGGCATGAGTACAACTCACCGAGGCTGTGTCCGTCGACTTTGGCGGCGGCCGTAGATCT